TGTATTTTTTTTTTTGACAGGCAGAGTTAGACAGTGAGAGAGAGAGACAGAGTGAAAGGTCTTCCTTTTCTGTTGGTTCACCCCCCAAATGGCCGCCACGGAACAGCGCGCTGCATCGATCTGAAGCCAGGAGCTTCTCCTGGTCTCCCATGTGGGTTCAGGGCCCAAGGACTTGGGCCATCCTCCACTGCCTTCCCGGGCCACAGCAGAGAGCTGGACTGGAAGAGGAGCAACTGGGACAGAATCTGGCCCCCCAACTGGGACTAGAACCTGGGGTGCCAGCACCGCAGGCGGAGGATTAGCCTATTGAGCTGCGGTGCCAGCATGCTGATGTCCTTTTAATCAAGATCTTCTGCACTGTTGTAACTGACCTAGGTAATGAGAATTTTATGTATCTTTATTGAGTCACGATTGGAGACTTAACCTTTACCCAATTAACCAATCAAAACCATCACTTCTCCAGGGCCCATCAGAGAACATCCCCTCTTGCAGCCCATAAAAACCACGAGGCAATCAGCCCTCAACAGCTCCTCCTCCAGGGACCCTCGAGGTGCTGCCGGCAGCTCTTGCTTTTGCTTCCTCTGTTTTTTGTTTTGTTTTGCAGTGAACTACTTCTGCTTTCCACACTCTTCCTTGTCTGCGCTCCTAATTCTTCATGATCACAGGACACGAATGCTAGTGATTAGAACTGCAGACTCCTGCCAGTGCCACGGCTCACTTGGCTAATCCTTCGCCTGCGGCGCCGGCACCCTGGGTTCTAGTCCCAGTTGGGGCGCCGGATTCTGTCCCAGTTGCTCCTCTTCCAGTCCAGCTCTCTGCTGTGGCCCGGGAAGGCAGTGGAGGATGGCCCAAGTGCTTGGGCCCTGCACCCCATGGGAGACCAGGAGAAGCACCTGGCTCCTGGCTTCAGATTGGCACAGCGCGCTGGCCACAGCAGCCATTGAGGGGTGAACCAACAGAAAAGGAAGACCTTTCACTCTGTCTCTCTCTCTCACTGTCCACTCTGCCTATCAAAAAAAAAAAAAAAAAAAAAAAAAAAAGACATCAGCATCCTTCACAGAGGCCAGCTGCTTGACTTTGCTCACTCAAGGAGCCCCTGTGGGCCCCGTCTACCTAGCTGGAAGTCTTTATCACTATACCTGGGCTGGATTGGAGTTGGGTCAGGGCTAAAACCAGAAGCCAGGAACTCATCTGAGGTCTCCTGTGTGTGTGGCAGGGACCCAGTCACTTGGCCATCAGCGCCTTGTCCCAGGTTATCCTTTAGCAGGGAAGTGAAATCAGGAGTCGGAGCCGGGAATAGAACCTGGGTACACTGATCTTGGATGCAGGTGTGTTAACTGCTAGACTAAACACCCACTCCCTGGAAATTATCTTTTCAAAACTGTGTCCTTTGTGTGGGGCAGCAGACGTCCTGGAAAGTGTCTCTAAAGAAAATGTGGTTGCAGTACAGTCAGGAGAGTCTGGCCAGGGTCCACAGGAGGAACTTTGCCTGCCCTGCCTCTAGTGGACTTGGCCTTGAACCCACAGGCGTGGCATAGCTGCTGTGCCCACGTGGGCTGTCTGGGATGGGGTCAGCCTTTGACAGACAGCACACACAGGCCTCTCCTGGCTGCTGTCTCTTTCTGTGGGAGAACGCCTTGTGGGATGCGTCCAGAGACCTGCCAGCCACAAAAAGTCATTATCAACAGAAGACAGAATGAAGAGATGTAGAGTAGAGTTGACTTGGGAGTGACCAGGATTTTTGTGGAGTCCCTGAGTCCTCATAGGACAGCCCCAAGCATCACTCCCAACAATAGTGCAGTAGGGCACTCTGTGCAGTAGGGCCGCTCTCTGTGCCGAAACGTTCGGACGTCTGTTGCTGCTAACGGCTCTATAATGCAGCTGGTACTCCAGACAAAACCATGGAAACAGGAGTCAGATCTCCTTGCTGAAGAACTACTCATTACTTTCTTTCTCCTCAATGTCTGATGACTTTATTTTAAACATTTAAAAAATCATTTTACATTTATTTCTGATTGTGAAATACTAAGGATATTCAGCAATGCCATTTGCACATTACCTACACTTAAAAGATTATTGCCATTTTGTCCTCTGCACTTCCAGTCAAAGCATTTTGTGGCAATGAAATATAAATACAATTAAAACCCGCAGTCCATCCGTTCCCACTTCCTGTCCTGTAAATATTACTCTTGATTTCCATGCATGATATTTTTACTGCGGTCTGCTTATTACTAAAATACATATTGTTTTTGGTTCTTAGTCTTCACCTAGCATCAGAATAGCTCTTTGTGGGTGGGTGTTTGGTGCAGCAGTTACGACACTGCTTGGGATGGCCACGTTCCTCTTTGGAGTGTCTGGGTATCACCGCCAGCTCTGCTTCTGATTCCAGCTTCCTGCTAATGTGCACCCAGGCAGGCTGCAGATGATGGTTCAAGTACTTGCGTCCCTGACACCCATGTGAGCGATTGAGGTTGGGTTCCCAGCTCCTGGTTTCAGCCTGGCCTAGCCCTGGCTGTTGCAGACATTTGGGAGGTGAATCAGTGGGTGCAAGATCACTCTGTGTCTCTCTCTGCCTTTTGAGAGAGATGAAAATAAGTTTTAAAAATTTGAAAATAGCAGTTTTCTGCCTGTGGCTCTGGCACACCAGGTTCTAGTCCCAGTCGGAACACAAGATTCTGTCCTGGTTGCTCCTCTTCCTGTCTAGCTCTCTGCTGTGGCCCGGGAAGGCAGTAGAGGATGGCCCAAGTGCTTGGACCCTGCACCCACATGGGAGACCAGGAGAAGCACCTGGCTCCTGCCTTTGGATCAGCGCGGTGCGCTGGCCACAGCATGCCAGCCATCGGAGGGTGAACCAACGGCAAAGGAAGACCTTTCTCTCTCTCTCTCTCTCTCTCTCACTGTCCACTCTGCCTGTCAAAAAATAAAAAAGAAAATAGCAGTTTTCTTTTTTACATAGCATTGTTTTTGAGGTTTATCATTTGAGAAATATAAGTGGTTTTTCATTGAACTTCTATGTAATATTCTTTTTAAAATTTATTTATTTGAAAGGCACAGAGATTTCTGTCTGTTGGTTCACTCCCCAAATGATGTCAACAACTAAGGCTGGACCACGCCACAGCCAGGAGTCAGAGACTCAATCCAGGTCTCCCATATGGGTATCAGGGACCCGACCTCTTGAGCCATTACCTGTTGCCCCTGAGGTGGAGCTAGGACTAAATGGGTGTCCCACGCTGTGTCTTCACTGCTACACCAAACCCCTACCCCATAATACTCTTTTTATGAATGAATTTCTTACCTTTTGCTGATGGAACAAATTAGCAAACACTGGGTGACTTAAAACAACAAATATTTCTGACCTCACAGTTCTGGAGCCAGAAGCCCGCAGTCATCATGTCAGCATGACCGTGTTCTTTCTGAAGCCTGCGGCATGGAATTCATCCTTCCTCTCCCAGGTTCTGGGAGCTCCTGGCAGTCCGCAGCCTTCCTGGGCTGGTGGAAGCACCCTCCAGTCTCTGCTTCTGCCCTCACACAGCCCTCTCTCCTGCAGGCCTGTCTCTGTGTCCAAAAGGCCTGGCTTTGAATTCAGGGCCTATGCTAATCCGGTATGGCCTCACCTTCACTTGATGCCATCTGCAAAGGACCTTATTCCCAATTAAAGTCACATTCACAGGAACTGCAGGAGAGGATGTGAACTTATCTTTTTGGGGGCCACAATTTAACCACCAACAATGACCAGGTCAGTCTGTCCTGTTCTGCTCTATGATCAGCTATTTTGTTTCTAACTGTTCCATTACATCAGGGCACAAAGCACATGGCTCTGTTTCCACAGTATGTACACATGGACACACACACACAACTCTCTGTCAGTTTCCTTACAGAATCCATCCAGCGCTGGGATTTCTGGATTGCTGGTTATCTTTACTTTTTTTTTAATTGCTTTTTAAAAGTTTATTTCCTTTTATTCATTTGAGAAGGAAGGGGGAAGAGAGCCAGAGAGAAAGAGAGAGTGAGAGCGAGGTGGGGGGCAGAGAGAGAAAGAGAGCGAGGCCTTCCATCTGCTGGTTCACTCCCCAAATGCTTGCAGCAGCATCCAGGGCTGGGCCAAACCCGGGAAGCAGAAGCTCCATTCATCTTCCACACGTGCAGGGGGAAGCCCAGTACTGGGCCGTCACGGGCTCCTCCCAGGGTACACCTTAGCAGGAAGCGGGATAACAAAGCCCGGTGCTCTAAGAGGGCTGCCCCAACCTTGCTAGGTCTTGGCTGACTGCTTTGCAGCTCTCGTATCAACCTTCAGCCCCTCCCTCTTCCCTATGAGGCACCACTCCTGCAATGTATAAGACGAAAAATGGCGTTTCCGAGTTGTTCTGGGTATCATTTCCTTGAGTAACAGTGAGGTCGATTATCTCCCATGTAAACGGGCCACCCAGGGCACTGTTCTGCAGACTGCTCTTTCCTAGGGGGCATCTGATGGGCACCCCACCCCACCCCACAAGCCAAAGCGCTCCTCTCCTCGGCACCTGCTTCTCCAGTCACAGTCCCCTCTGGCTATCTTTTTGTCCAGTGCCCGCACATGTAGTCTGCCTGCATCTGCACAACAGCTGGCTTTGCCTGTGAGCCATCCAGATGTTTCTGCCTTCTCAGCATCGCCGTCCTGGCCGTCTGACAACCTCTTTTGACAGTGGCAGCTTCAGTGATACTTCAAATCAAGCCAGAGATGGCCACTCTTCTTCCCAGCACATCGGGGTTTCCTTCTAACCCTGAGGACACTGTTTGCGTGTGTGGGCACTGATCATTTTTTTCCTCTCGTATCACTCAGTTTTGTGGTAGATTGCCTGTTTCATAACTCTTCAACGAATCAGATTTTATTCCCTTTGGACTTTGTTTTATTTTTATATTATTTTCTCTTTGTAGGTTTGCCTTGGTCTCTGTCCACTTTCTAAATTCAAAGGTTGAAGTCCTAGCCCTGCAGGTGACAACAGACGGAGGCGAGGCCTTGGGAAGTGATTGGGCCTTGAGGGTGGAGTCCTTATGATGGGATTAGTGTGAGATTAGTGCCTTTATAAGGGACAGCTAGCCAGTACCTGATACATGGAGAAGGCACCATCTCTGAACCACAAGGCAGACACTCAACGGACACCTTGAACTTGGACTTCCAGCCTCCTGAACTGTGGGTGATATTGGGTTGTTGATGGGGCTCCCAGTACACGGTGTTTCGTTATAGCAGCCCGAGTGGACTCAGGGCATGTTCTGCTCTTACCCCCCGGCTTATAGATGTTTCATTTCTTTTCATTCTGTCTTCTTGTCTAATCTCTGTTCCAGGCTGCAAAGGGTTTTTCTAGTTCCCCTGTGTTGATTGTATCGACTTGGGCTAGCCGTTGTTTTCATTGTCATTTTTCAGGCTAAGCCGCTGCCTGCGAGGGTAGCATCCCAGGTGAGCAGTGGATCGAGTCCCAGCTGCTCTGCTTCAGATTCAGCTCTTTGCAAATGCACTGGAAAAGCAGCAGAAGATGGCCCAAATGCTTGAGGCCCTTGCACCCACTGGGGAAACCCAGGCAGAGTTCCGGGCTCCTGGCTTTGGCCTGGCCCAGCCCTGGCCCTTGTGGCCATTTGGAGAGTAAACCAGCAGATACAAGATGTTGTCTTTCTCTGTGTCTCTCCCTCTCAGAATATACCGTCGTGCCTCTCTCTGTGTAGTCCAACTTGAGCACCTACGATGGCGAATGAAGCTCAGCCGTGCCCGTGCGACATCGGCCACAGGATGGAGTATGGCGGGATGGGGCATGAAGTCCAAGTGGAGCACATCAAGGCTTACCTCACCAAACCCCCCATGGATACAGGCAAAGCTGTGATCGTCATTCAGGATATCTTTGGCTGGCAGCTGCCCAATACCAGATATATAGCGGATATGATTGCAGGAAATGGATACACGTAGGTATAAAATCTTCGTTTACCTAAAGTCAGCTAAATTCCCATGGTCTACTTTGTTCCATTTGGCAAGAAACAAAACAAACAAAACACAAACCAACAGGACTCTGTTCTCATTTACATCATCTGCTTCCTTATCTCACTGTGGGAAGGTAAGTGGGAAATGGGATAAGACATGAAACACGCACCTGCTCGCACACCAACCCCTGGATGTCCGGTCTTCCCTGGAGCACCCGGCTCTGCAGGCTCCTGAGACACTGAGACTCTTCTCCCCTCGTGGGGCTGTGGCCAGACACAGGCTCCGGACACCTGGGCCAGACCGTACAGGCTCGGAAGTGGACCCAGTACTTGGTCCTTGGAGCATCCCAGCCTTGGGTGGGGTTTTCCAGGCCTGCGTGGATGGGGGAGGAGGGGGGTCTCTGTATGTCTTCCTGGTCCCAATGTGCACTGTCATGGCCCCATGTGTTAGACTGGGTTCCAGAATCGGCACGGGGAGACTTCGCTTGGGCTCTGAGTTCATGCCTTTGTCCTGCCAGGTGGCTGGCTCTCACGGCCCGCTCCTCGCTGCCCTGGCGCAGTCAGAGCTTCCATAAAGCACCAAGGAGAGGGGACCCTGCCTTCCTCTCTGGCTATAGAAAGCTTCGTGCCCAGCCAGACTGGAACTGGCTCCGCCCGGGTTTCCTGTGTTTTCTCAGACAGGCTGGCAACCTGCGAGCCCGCCGGCCTCTGCTGGAAGAGAGACTGGTTTACAGGAATGCCACCCTGCGCAACGTGACGCAGACCTCATGTCGAGCGGGAAGTGGCTGGCTCACATCCCTGCTCTCCATGAGCAAGCCCGGTCTTAAAAGAGCAACCAGCTCCAGTTGCCTCCTGGCCCAGCAGAACCCAGAGCAGAAGGCTTTACAGGGCTCACAGCCCTGAGTTCTTCTGCGGGGCCTGAGGAAGGAGCTGCGGCTGCTAGGAGCTGCTGGTGCAGCTTAGGAGAGTGGGGCTTAAACGTGCACCCGGCTGCAGCCAGCGGGGACTGGGTGGGGCCTTTAGCTGGACTCAGGACCTCAGAGAAGAGCAGATACCCCTGCTGCTGCCCTCAAGGTGATCCCCCTGGGTTGCTGGGCCAGCCTGCCGTGGCAGAAAGCGTTTGGGGGACTGGGCAGGCCACACGACCCCAGTTCCAGCGTCCTCCTCCCCTCTGCTGCATGAGGGCTCGGTTCCTCCTGCCGCAGGGAGCAGTGTTGGCTCCGGGCCTCCTGGGTTGACTTGCACAGCAGGACAACATGGGCTGCGTGAGCCTGGCATGCTTTCTCTCTGTGGGGCCTCTGCTAGGAACCGCTGTAGACCTTGCCCTCAGGGCGGGAGTCTGTGCCACATTGGCAGCGTGGGCAGAGGCCATGAAAAGTGCTTGGTCATGGTCATGTGCTCACCAGGTGTGTCCTCTGATCCGAGACTAATGGGAAAGGCCGGGAGGCGCCTTGGCCATGGAGGTGCAACGTCCCCGGGCAGATGAGGCCCTGAGAGCTGCCTGCCTCGGGCAGGCGCCCAGGTGCCCTGGGTCCTGTGCTGGACTGTCTCACAGGAGGTGCCCTGCTGATGGCCTTGTCATCTCTCAGGGCTGGGTAACACCTGTGGCCGTGAAAGCCGAGATGCTCTGCCCCGGCCCTCCGTGGCCTCGGCTGGGCTCACATGTGGCCTTCACGACTTCCGCTTCCCCTCCTCCAGGAGGCAGAATCACCAATGTAGCAAGTTCTTGAGCTGGGGAGAGAGAGGGAGAGAGTGAGAGAGAGAGTGACATAGAGATCTTCCGTCTGCTGGTTCACTCCCCAAGAGGCCACAGACAGGCCAGGCTGAAGCCAGGAGGCTGGTGTTCCATCCGGGTCTCCCACACGTGTGCTGGGGCCCAAGGCCTTGGGCCATCCTCCGCTGCTTTCCCAGGTGCATTAGCAGAGCACTGGATTGGAAGTGGAGCAGCCGGGTCCTGAACAGGCCCCGCCATGGGATGCTGGTGTTGCCGGTGGTGGTTTTACCGCTGTGCTGAGTGCCAGCCCCGCAAAGCCAGCTCCGCCCAGCACGTACTGAACGCATGGCATGAAGCTCTGAAGCTAAGCCGCCTCATGTTCATGTTTTCCAGAACCATCCTTCCGGATTTCTTTGTGGGCCAAGAGCCATGGAGCCCCTCTGGTGACTGGTCCATCTTCCCTGAGTGGGTGAAGTCAAGAAACGCCAGGAAGATCAATAAGTAAGTCATCAGCAGGTGCGGCTGTGAGTGCGGCCTGAGGAGGCCACGTGGAAGCCACGGATGTCCTGGGTCACCGCTGATAGAGTCCCTCCCGCAGCACCAGGGCATCATGTCTCCACACAGGGCTGCTCCCCCTCTGATAAATTCTCCATGCCCTGGGTGCCCAGCGGGACGTTGTACAAGTGCCCATCAGGAGTCCCCATGTGCAGTCCTGTGTCTTCATTTGTGACAGGAAATTCATTCCAAATGCTTACCATGGAAGCAGTCATGGATTTGTTGGTTTGTAGAACAGAAAAGAGATAGAAGTAGATACTGGTCTGTAGTTTGAAAGATCCTAGCAACATCTCACAGCTGTGTATCTTGGGTGTTGGCTCCAATTTTGGGCAGCTCTCGCCTCCAGGTGGCAGGATGGCTGCAGCAGCTCCAGCCTTCCATTGGCTTCTCACCCAGAAAGTTTCATTTTGTGCACTTGGTTTTGATTAACGGCAAAGCCTGTCCTTGAACCAGTGATTGTGGCCACGAGGTTGCTGTGCTCTGGTCAGGCCCAGACCACATCCTCGACTCCTAGAACTGCAGGCTGAGCCCCCACAGATATGGTGGGGAGGAGTAGTTCATCCCAAGCTGGAGCCTGGTGTTTCGAGAATTGCAGGGAACAGTCTTGAGCAACCAAAGCAAGTCAGTGTTCATCCAGCTCAGCTCAGAATGTTTTATTTATTTCTCTTTGAAGATTTATTTATTTGAGAGGCAGAGTTACAAACAGGAGAGACAGAGAACGAGATCCTCATCCGCTGTTCTCCCCAAATGGCCACAACAGCCAGAGCTGGGCCAATCCGAATCCAGGAGCCAGGAGATTTGTCTGGGTTTCCCAGGTGGGTGCTGGGGCCCAAGCACTTGGACCACCTTCCACTGCTTTCCCAGGCCACAGCAGAGAGCTGGCTAGGAAGAGGAGCAGCCCAAACCGGAACAGGCATCCACGTGGGCTGCTGGTGCCACAGGTGGAGGCTTAACTTCCTGTGCCACAGCTCTGGCCCCTCAACAATGTCTTACAGAAATACCTTCCACTTTCTTGTTCTTTCCGACTAAGGTAGTTATTTTTGATACCAAAGCATTGAAGAAAAGTTAAAAGCCAAAGCAATAGAATCTCTTGCTGGTTACATTTTATTTTGCAGAATTACTGAATTCCTGCTCTTGTGGCATCGTGGGAATAACCACGTGGGCACAGAGCAGCATGGGTGCTTGTTCAAAAGCGTATCCAAACGCACGTGCTGAGTAAAAGGAAAAGTGCCTAGAACTGCTCTGTGCTGTTGAAAGCTTGCAGCCCTAAAGCGTTTCTCCGCTATTGGATCAAGCAGCGCTTCCCGCTGGCCTCAGCGTCAGTGCAGCGCTTCTCGTGGAAAATGCACTCCAGGTTCCAAACAAGCCCTTGGCAGAGGCATCGCTTGGCCCCACCGTGGCTTGCAAAGTCCTGGCGACCATCCAGATTCCGCTGCACTCTGGGCACAGGAATGGACCAGCAGTGCTGGCTGGCTGGGGGTTCCTCAGGGGATGACAGTGTTTGGGGACTTGTCCGTCTCCGGGCAGAGGCGATGGGGGCGCTCCCAGGATCTTGCTCTCAGCTGGGAAGTGAGCCGGCCAAAGCTGTGTCCTGGAAAGGGCTCCGCATGCCTGCGGCTCTGCCAGGTGGCTTGGCGTGGCCGTTGCATGACTTGGGACGGTGGGTCCCTTGGGCGGGAAGGAGCAAGGGTGGAACTCCAAAAGTAAGACTCATCGACCATCGCAAATGGCAGCGGCAGAGACGGCCCTGTTACCCAGGGCACGGCGCTCCGCGGGCTCTGTGGGCTCCGCGGCACACCTGCTGACGCTCAGGTGCCTTGCTGCTCTCTTCTAGGGAGGTTGAGGCTGTTCTGCAGTACCTGAAGCGACACTGCGGTGCCCAGAGGATCGGCGTCGTGGGCTTCTGCTGGGGCGGCATCGCTGTGCACCATATCATGACCACGTACCCAGAAGTCAAGGCCGGAGTATGCGTCTACGGTGCGTGTGCCCCGTGCACCGCGACACGCGGGGCGAGGCTGAGTGGCAGGGGCCACAGGAACCCCAGTAGTGCAGAGACAGCCCCTTCCTAAGCAGATGGTCTCTTACGGACCTGGGAACCCAGTGGGAGGCTGGGCCTCTGCTGGAGGCTCCATTTTGTGTGTGTGTGTGTGTGTGTGTTTTAAGATTTATTTATGTACTTTAAAGAGAGAGAGAGAGGTTTTCCATCCGCTGGTTCATTTCCCATATGGCCGAAACAGCCAGCACTGGGCCAGGCCGAAACCAGGAGCCAGGATCTTCATCCGGGTCTCCCATGTGGGTGTCAGGGGCCCAAGTACCAGGGCATCCTCTGCTGCTTTTCTCAGGCCATTAGCAGGGACCTGGATCGGACAAGGAGCAGCAGGAGTGGCAGCTGGTGGCTTCGCCAGCTGCCCCACAATGCCGCCCAGAGGGCTCCATTTCTTTACTAGGAGAGGGACAGCATTTCTTCCTGATTCATTTCAAGCACTGTTTTTTATAAGCAATATCGATGACAATCTTTTTCAAAGGTAAGATTTGCCTTCACCCCCCCCCCCCGCCCCCAACAAGCTGCATGAAAAAAAAAGAAAAACCCACTTTGGACTGTAAATAGCAACGTACACATTTTGAAGAAAGCAGACCAAAGCTGTCAGAACACTGAACTAAGAACACTGTCTCCACATACAGAACCTACAGGCTAAGTACAGGACCAGGAAGGATTCAGACCCCCCAAAAGTTCTCTACAAAGAAGGCACTGATCCCGAAGTTATACTACCGGTTCTTATTTGGCTTAATGGTTCTATTTTCCTTACTTTTAGCATTTTAAAAATCCTCTAAAGTTTCCTCCCACAAAGGAAATGAATTCCGTAAATTGCCGCATGCCCTTGGGCACAGCAGGGCCGAATGGCCTTTGAGTAACTGAGCAGACGGCGTTCCTGCACAGCCGCCTCGCCGGCGCCACCTTCTGGCCTGTGCCGTGCAGTGCGTGAGCTGCGGGCTGTGGCCTTGCCAGGCTGGCGCAGGGCGGGCGGCCACCTGCCCTGTGGCTCCCTGCCCCTTGGAGCGGAGTTACCGTGGGCCGGGGGGTGGGGGTGACCTCCGTGTTACTTGGCCTTGCACGGTGTTTAGGTGATTTCCCGGGGAAGTGGGCGCACCCGCAGGGCCGGTAGCGCAGGATGGCTGATCTCAGATTTCTGAGATAAGGATGAAAACCGAGCGTTCAGAACCCCTTGCAGGACCACGTGCGGCTGGGGTCTGGTTCGAGCACAGGCCGCTCCTGTCAGGAAGGAAAGCACCCTGAGCATTTCACTGGAACCTGGGGGGCTCACCGAGGTGGGGAGAAACTTCTAGAATGAGGGCATGCTCCCCTCCGTGTTAATGCAGGCACAGCCCATTTCTCAGGCTGCTCCTGTCTTTACCCAGCACAGCAAGCAGGCTGCCAGGCTGATGAGTCCCAAGGGCCGAAGTGGAGGGTGGGACGACCCAAGTCAGTCTCTCTCAGACCCAGGCCTCTTCTGTGGAATTGCTTAAACACTAACAAAACCGAGAAAGCAAGGCAAAGAAAGCCCCCGAAGTGCACACCTGGACAGCCACACCCAGCTCGAGCAGCTGGCACGGCACCCTCTCACGCGCCTGATCTCACTTTCAGGGGTCGTCAAGGACTTCGGAGACATTTACAGTTTAAAGAACCCCACGCTGTTCATCTTTGCTGAAAATGACTCCGCCATTCCCCTGGAGCACGTAAGTGGCTTCTCCCCCACCCCTCGGCCTTTTTAAAAAAGATTTTTCTTTTTTTTTTGACAGGCAGAGTTAGACAGTGAGAGAGAGAGAGACAGAGAGAAATGTCTTCCTTTTTCCTTTGGTTCATCCCCCCAAAGTGGCTGCTAAGGCCGGCGTCTTGGTGCCGGTGCACTGCGCCGATCTGAAGCCAGGAGCCAGGTGCTTCCTCCTGGTCTCCCATGCGGGTGCAGGGCCCAAGCACTTGGGCCATCCTCCACTGCACTCCTGGGCCACAGCAGAGACCTGGAATGGAAGAGGAACAACCGGGACAGAATCCGGCGCCCCCACCAGGACTAGAACCCTGGGTGCCGGCGCCGCAAGGCGGAGGATTAGCCTAGTGAGCCACGGCGCCGGCCTAGATTTATTTTTTTATGTATTTGGAAGGCAGAGTTACAGAAAGAGGGAGCGATAAACATCTTCCACCCACTGGCTCACTCCCCAGATGCCCGAAACGGACAGAGCTGGGCCAGGCCTAAGCCAGGAGTCTGCCTCATGGGTGCAGGGTCCCAGGCCCTTGGGCCATCTTCAGCTGCTGTCCCAGGTGCATGAGCAGGGAGCTGGGTCCGAAGTGGAGCAGTCAGGACTTGCTGGGGTCCCAAGTGGTGGCTTACCTTGCTGCGCCATGATGCCGGCCCCCAACTTATCTTTCCATTCCATTTCGCATGAACGTTTCAAAGTCCTCTTGCATTTCACATTTTGAAGAAAATCTTGAATTCAGTTTTTTTCCCCCAGCATTGAAATTTTAAAGGGCGGGTGTGTGCTTTATCAGAACGTACAGTGGAATGGAAAACCCTCAGAGCACGAGGTGTTCACCGAGCACCGATCGCCGAGGGAAGTGCTCTCGGCAGAGGCCGGGTAGGATCTGGCTCTACCTCCTGCCTCCCCTGTGGTGACCCACAGGGACCACAGAGTCTGGGTCCTTGAAGACATGATTTGTTAAATCCAGCAAGCTGATAAGGAAAAGCAGAAGAAAGCAGTCATTTAGAAATTGCCATTGTCAGTAATTTATGTATTAGTGCAAATGATTTCCAAGTCTGAAGGCCCTTGACTGCCGATGGTTCAGCCGCCCGATGGTGCGAAAGCAACCATCTGGGTTCCGAGCTTGCCCAGGACTGGCGCTCTGCACTGCCAGCCTCCCTGGTGATCCTGGGCAGCGGCAGTGCGTGTGGCTCCCCGTGTGCCGTGTGGCCGAGCCAGGGTGTTCAGTCTTGAGCAGGAGTGAACGCGTCTCCCACTGGCGTCGCTGGTTTTCAGTGGGTTTACTGGGACGGAACCCCACGCATGGTCTTGCAGCATCTGTAATCGCTGTGGTCTCGTTTTTCTGTAGCGCTGAGATCTCTCCTGCGGCATAGGGCAGGACTGTGTTAGAAGTGAAGAAGTCGGTGCAGCTATAGAACTGGCCGATAATTCAGAGCGCTGATACTGGCCGTCTTTCATGACCACTTGCTGACAATTTGGGGAACAGGAATGTTACTAACCAGTGGAAACCGTATCATCCTGAACTCTCTCCCACACCAGGTCTCTCAGCTGACCCAGAAGCTGAAGGAGCACTGCAAAGTTGAGTATCAGATCAAGACGTTCTCTGGGCAGACTCACGGGTTTGTGCACCGGAAGAGAGAAGACTGCTCCCCTGAAGACAAGCCCTACATTGAAGAAGCAAGGAGGAATCTGATCGAGTGGCTGAACAAGTACCTGTAGCGGCGGTCAAGTGCAAATGGTTTTCACCCAGACACGTGCTTTGTAAGAAATCATTTCATTTTCACTGTATCTACAATGCAGGTAGGGAATCCCGAAATTCGTAGTTGCATCGGAAGGACAAAGTTGGAAATGTTAATTATTGAAAGCAATTTAGCAGACGTATATCAAATAAAAATGTAAGGAAGTAGGTCAGTGCCTGAAGAATCTGAATGATAGAGCGACACCCTGGGCCGTTCAGGGACGGGGACAGGCGACAGCTCAGGTGTGGCCTGGCCTCTGGCTGCATCGTTCAGTGACTCATGTGGCAAAGCTGTGGAGACTTGGACTGTAAGCCAGGCCAGATGAGAAGCTTAGACATTTTCCTTTGTCTTAGGAGAACTGAATTTGTCACATTCACAGATTGCAATATATGGGTTCCGCTGACTCAATTCTGTCAAGCTAAGCAAATGAAATTTTTCAAGTCTTTGATTAACATGCAATACTTGCAATTTTTTGGGATATAGTGCAACATTTCAACACACAGACATAGGTAGGGCAAATCAAGAAGGCATAGATTGTAGGTTTTTGTTTTTTTTTTTAAGATTTATTTTATTTATTTGAAAAGGATAGAGAGAGAGATATGGAGAGACAGTGAGAGACATCTTCCATCCACTGGTTCACTCCCTAAATGGCCACAAAGCCCAGGGCTGGGCCAGACCAAAGCCAGAGGCCAGGAGTGTCCTCTGGGTTTTCCATGTGGGTGCAGGGGCCCAAGCACTTGGGCCATATTCTACTGCCTTCCTAGGTGCATGTGCAGGGAGCTGGATCAGAAGTGGAGCAGCCTGGTCTAGAACTGCTGCCCATGTGGGATGCCAGTATTGCTGGCTTAACCTGCTATGCCATAGTGCCAGCTTCAGCAGTTTTTTTTTTTTTTTTTTTTTAATTTCATTTATTCATTTGAGAGGTAGAATTATAGAGAGAGGGAGAAACAAAGATCTTCCATCCGCTGGTTCACTCCCCAAATGGCCGCAACTGAGCTGGGCCAATCCGAAGCCAAGAGCCTCCCCTGGGTCTCCCAGGTAGGTGCAGGGGCCCAAGCACCTGGGCCATCCTCCACTGCCTTCCCAGGCCATAGCAGAGAGCTGGGTCGGAAGTGGAGCAGCTGGGACCAGCATTGGCGCCCACATGGGATGCTGGTGCCCCAGGCGGAGGCCTAGCCCACTATGCCACAACACCAGCCCCTTTAGTTTTCTTTTAAAGCCAACTAGACAACGACAGGTTAGTTCTCACTCTCCAGTCTCCTAGGCAGTGGTTTGGCCAACATTGGTATTTTTGGGTCCCAGGGTGGTCTGCATGTGTTGGTGGGTGGGTTACATGGCGGGCACCTCGGTGCCGCACCTCCCAGGGTCCTGCATGTACTCTGGCCATGTGAAGTGTTTTTCTCCCATTTGGCCTTGAGTTCTGTCTCCCATGGGTGGCTGTTGACTAGACTGGCCCTGCTGGGCTCCAGGGAATTTGGCTGTGGGTCTCTCCAAGTGCCCCTCTCACGGGACACGTGTTCACATGGCAGATGCCCCTGTGGCCTCAACACACCACTCTCTGGAGCACCCTGGCTGGGAAAGGACTCAGCATGAGGCGCATGGGTGGGGCAGACACAGAGCAAGCAGGCCTGGGGGTAGGGGCCTGCACATTCACCAGGGGGTGGGCAGCAGCAGTGAGGGGCATGTGTGTGCTGAGGCCTTGGTTGGGGCCTGGTGCGTGAGCCTCGCAGGCCCCCCGTGGAGTTCTCAGAGTGGGTTTCCAGCAGTAGGCAGGAGTTCCAGGAGCCACTCTCACTGGTCCACGCAGGGTGTGTGTGTGGGGGAACAGTGGGTCGTCACTCAGGCTTCACCTGGAGTGGGTTGTAGGTGACAGCTGTCGGAACAACCACCTTGAGGAACCACAGGACCGGGAACTGTTAGGGGTGACCAAGCCCCTGGGTGCTGAGGCAACATGAGGTTGTGATTCACATCTGACTGTTCCAGTCCATGGGGGTGAGACTTACTGTGTGAAGTTGAGGATAAAAGCAGGCCCCCTTGGATGAATTATACCAGGCCTGGAGCCGGGGGCCCCCCTGAGCAACACCCACTGATCCAGTCTCCCAGGGCAAGCGCGGGGCCTGCTGGTCCAGCCCGGTACTTAGCGCGTGAGCAGGAGGTCAGTCTCAGCACAAAGGGTGAGTGGAGGGTGTGGAGTATCCTTGAAGACCCCCGCGGCTCTCTGCCGGGTCCTCCCATCCAACGCCCGCGAGCTAGGGCTTTTCACTGGCAGTGTCTGGAATGTAACGCAAGTCACATGTGAATGTTTTCAAGATTGTGATGTCTGTGGATAAAAGTTCACGTATCCACATTTAAAAAAGGAGCAACAAGTGGACGCAATTTTGATAAAAGTATCTAACCCAGTCTGTAGGGACCACTACCTCAAACCCAGGGACTCAGGAATGGGACGTGGGTGACCCCAGCAGTTTCGCCGGCTGCACGCCTGCTGGTTTTTTAAGGGTGGTGGTAACTGACTCATGCACACAGCTCTACCTGCCATGGCTTCTGTGCCAACAGCACACACGTCAGCAGTGAAGGCGCAGCCTTTTAGTCCAGGAGGCCACGTCTGACTCACGTGCCCCTTGTAAAGCCCAGGACCTCAGGGGTTTGCATTCTGTACAGGTTTTCACGTGGATTCCTCACTCCTGATGGCCAACACTGGTTCTCAGCAGCTCTGCGTCTCTAGTGTCCCCTTGTCTGGGCTTCAGTTGACCCACATTCTGCAAGGCTGCTCCAAGCTCCTCCATGCAGCAAACTGTGTTCACTCGACCCCAAACTCCCACACCTACAGTGAAGCTGTTTAAGGGCAAAGGCCCTCCCCCTCACTGCGGCACAGCGGGTTAGCTTGCTGCCCATTGCTGGCATCTCACACAGCCCTGGCTCAAGTCCCAGCTGCACCACTTCCAATCCAGCTCCCTGTTTATGCACCTGGGAGAGCAGATGGCCCAAGCGCTTGGGTCCCTGCCACCCAGGATGAAGTTCCAGGCTCCTGGCTATGATCTTGCCCAGCCCTGGCCATCGTAGCCATTTGGGGAGTGAACCAGCAGATGGAGATCTTGCTCTCTGTGACTCTGCTTTCTAATTAAGAGAAGAAAATGAATTAACGGAGAATTCAAGAGATGCAATCAAATAAACAGACCAGCCGCTCAGACATTCTCCCGACAACTGCAGCACAGACACCAAGCAACACTGGTACTGGCCATCGTGTGGGGCTATTTTTTTTTTTTTTTTTTTTGACAGGCAGAGTGGACAGTGAGAGAGAGAGACAGAGAGAAAGGTCTTCCTTTGCCGTTGGTTCACCCTCCAATGGCCGCCGCGCTGCGGCCAGCGCACCGCGCTGATCCGATGGCAGGAGCCCAAGCACCTGGGCCATCCTCCACTGCACTCCCTGGCCACAGCAGAGGGCTGGCCTGGAAGGGGGGCAACCGGGACAGAATCCGGCGCCCCGACCGGGACTAGAACCCGGTGTGCCGGCGCCGCTAGGCGGAGGATTAGCCTAGTGAGCCGCTGCGCCGGCCGCGTGGGGCTATTTTTGCTACACGTGGGAGGTGAGGGTCACCTGAAGTGACCTCTAATCCACAGTCCACTTTGTGATGGAACACGAAGAGGTTGCAGCTCAGCAGGTGTTGGGTTTTCAATGCTCAGCTGTATAATCCCATAATTCAAATTCTATTAGCACATATCCTTAATTGCACAGGGTAGCAAACCACTCCATACATCAATGTGTTGAGAAAACACATGAAACAGAGTTGAAAGTATCTAGGTTCATTACCCTGGAACACTGCTCCCGCCAATTTGTACATCAGCCACCACATCCTAATTCTGGGGAACCTGACCGTGACCAGATCAGCAGGACCCTCTGCTCCGGTAGCATTTCAGTGAACTTCACAAACATTCTGGAGCCACACACAGCACCCGCAGGGCGGGTGGCCAGATGGAACTCTGGGGTCAGAGCACGTGGGACTGCGCAGACTCCACCCTCACCGGCTGAGACGTTGGGGATGCTGTGAACAGTAGGAAACAGGCCCACGCCACTGGGTTGGGAGAAGGGCGGCAGTCAGGAAGGTGCTCGGAACCGGCCCACTGTAGGGCTGTCACCACCACTGACTCTTCCAGCAATGAGAACCCACACCGGTCTTCTGCACATCTGTAATCACTGTAACTCACTAGCTCTGTCCCTCTGGTGAAACAACTGGGTTGTCACTGCTCCCCTGGCCAGAGTCCAGCTGGTGTCCAGCTCTGACCCTGTAGACAAAGTGACCTGGGTTTATGACAGGGTTAGGACCAGAGTAAAGCAGATGATGTGGCCTTGTCGTTGGTGTAACACCAGGTCATGCTGGGGTGTAACCCAGTAACAGGACCCAAGGCATCCCCTAATTCTGGAGTGGAAATACTCATCCAGCACTGGTGGCTACAACGAAAGATTCAGTTGTTTAGACAGGAAGAGGATCAAGTCCATACTTCTCTCAATGCTAAAATAAACGCTGAGAACAAACCTAATGTTTACCCATTAACCAGCAGATGGAAGATCTCTGTCTCTTTGCCTTCCATATAAAATGAAAAACAAAAAGCCAAAACACAAAATAGAAAAACCCACCTTTAAAAGCCTGAAAAATGTCTACTTGAACCCCTTTAATTAAGGCAGCATTTGTTTGATGTTACAATGAACATTCCCTAAACTTGGAGATTAAAGAGCTCCCTTCAATACAATGAATACAGGGGCTGGTGCTGTGGCACAGCAGGTAAAGCCACCACCTGCAGTGCCAGCATCCCATATGGGTGCTGGTTTGAGTCCTGGCTGCTCCACTTCCGACCCAGCTCTCTGCTATGGCCAAGGAAAGCAGCAGAAGGTGGCCCAAGTCCTTGGGCCCCTGCACCCACGTGGGAGACCCAGAGGAAGCTCCTGGCTCCTGATCGGCACAGCTCTGGTCGTTGCAGCCAACTGGGGAGTGAACCAGCAGATGGAAGACCTCTCTCTCTGCCTCTCCTCTCTCTGTGTAACTCTTTCAAATAAGTAAATATATCTTTAAAAAATACAATGAATACAAAAGCTTGTGATAGAGTATTCTTAGAATGACAGTTTTGAACACGTGAAACTATGGTTACCAAACAGCTGTTTTATTGTAGCATCTACAGAGTCTGAAAAAGGATGTCATAATAAATAACCAGACGCGTCACGAGACACCCATTCTTTAATCACAGCAGTGGATCTCACTGGCTCATCTTACTCTAATCTTTGTCTTTATTCTTCAGATTCTCCAGGCTTACGGATATCATCAATCTTCAGAATCATTCTGACCATCTGCGTTGCAAGAGAGATCTGTTGCTTTTTGCCAATCAGCGTTTCTATGACATGCTGTTGCTTCATGTCTGAAAAAAGCAAGTACATCAATTATCCTAAAATAGCCACGTATTATCTGTAGAGTATCAATAAGCAGCTCTGGTTTATGGAATCGGTGTTCCTCCTGGGAGCCTCTGGGATGGGAAGCTGGTTTGGAGAGCTGTGGGGGTGCAGGGGGTGCTTCCCGAGGACAAGCTCAAGAGAGGAACCTTTCAGGGACGTCTCCATCTGCACCCTCACTCAGCAAGCCTCAAGTCAGTGAAATCTGACCTGAGAAGCTCAGTATTCCCAAGCAGACCAGGAAATGCTTAATTTTTATCACATGCAGCTATTCAACTAAAAGCGTTAAATAAATGACAAAAAGTTGCTATTATTAAAATTCTTGGAATATGACAGGAAAAACAGAATACACCTATACTTTTAAGTAAAACACACACAAAACCCCCAAACCTGACAAGGTCTGTGGCCAGGACCCACACGTGGTGCAATGAGTATGAAACGAATGGGAGCCCTGTTCCAACAGGCCGGTGTCATCCGCCTTTTCTAGAGCTGAACGCTAGGTCACCAGAGCACAGCGCTCACAGGGATCCCACCAGTTAAACACTGTCATCTATGGGACGGGAGGGGGCCTATGAAAAACTGCATGGACTTATTCAACTCCACTTTCTGACAACTCCCTGTAAACCACATGACACGCCATAACTCAGAGTCCACTGGAGAGCAGTTCTGTACAATCTCCAGAACCCACTTCCACGGACTACTAAGAAAAACAAAATGCAATTATTGCTAGCAACAGAAATCACGTCATCTTCATGGAACGGTGCCACATTACAGTTTATTAACACTAAAATGGGTTTTATGTTGCCCTATAGGACTATCAGTCTTTTTTTTTTTTTTTTTTTTTTGGACAGGCAGAGTGGACAGTGAGAGAGAGAGACAGAGAGAAAGGTCTTCCTTTTGCCGTTGGTTCACCCTCCAATGGCCGCCGCGGTCGGCGCGCTGCGGCCGGCGCACCGCGCTGATCCGATGGCAGGAGCCAGGAGCCAGGTGCTTTTCCTGGTCTCCCATGGGGTGCAGGGCCCAAGCACCTGGGCCATCCTCCACTGCACTCCCTGGCCACAGCAGAGAGCTGGCCTGGAAGAGGGGCAACCGGGACAGAATCCGGCGCCCCGACCGGGACTAGAACCCGGTGTGCCGGCGCCGCTAGGCGGAGGATTAGCCTAGTGAGCCGCGGCGCCGGCCCGGACTATCAGTCTTAAGGACTTCTTAAGGTAATCATAAAATTCAGGACTTGAGCACCCAAACTATGTTTAAATATTAAAAAAGAACAGAGTCCCATGGTATATATTACACACCACTCAGCCATACATGTATAATTATTCAGTCTGAATAAAACACAGCTGTGCCCTCTGAAACTCAGGCTGAAATACCACTGACACTACAGTGGGGATGGGGGCGGGGCCCCAGAGGTGATCAGGTCCCCAAGAGGGACTCCGCCCCTCTGCATGGTGCCCACTTGCCCTCCTCCCTCCCCAGGTGCAGCAGCACAAGGCCCTCAGGGGATGTGGTCGCCCAACCAGGCTCTTCCCAGCCTCCAGGCCCTCTGTCCTCACCATTTGTTCCCTTGTGCAAACAGTCGATGCCCAGAGCAGGGTTCATCTCTTTCACTTGTCTGGCTCGGACTTCTGTCATGGTCTGGATGGGGTTCATGCCACTATTTTCAGAAAGGGCCATGGGGATGACCTCCAGGGCATCGGCGAAAGCCCTCATGGCGTACTGCTCCAAGGTCGGGCACTGCAAGGGCACACGGAAGCGGTAAGGACACTCGGCAAACCAGAGCAGCCTGGCAGTGGTACGGAAACAGCTTACACTTTGAGGCCATCTTGACTATTTTTTTTTTTTTGACAGGCAGAGTGGACAGTGAGAGAGAGAGACAGAGAGAAAGGTCTTCCTTTGCTGTTGGTTCACCCTCCAATGGCCGCCGCAGCCGGCGCACTGCGCTGATCCAATGGCAGGAGCCAGGTGCTTCTCCTGGTCTCCCATGGGGTGCAGGGCCCAAGCACTTGGGCCATCCTCCACTGCACTCCCGGGCCACAGCAGAGAGCTGGCCTGGAAGAGGGGCAACCGGGACAGAATCCGGTGCCTCGACTGAGACTAGAACGCGGTGTGCCGGCGCTGCAGGCAGAGGATTAGCCTAGTGAGCCGCAGCGCCGGCCTTTGACTACTTTTAATCTATCAAAAAATGCCACTGCAGACTAAGGTTATAAAGATGTCTCAGAGCAAAGCAATTCTTTTTACTCTAAGTTATGATATAAATCAGTTTTGAATTTCAGAGATTAATTATTGCTGTCAAGCACCGTATGGCTGAAGAGGGCTGAGAAACGCTACAGAGACAGGGGCGAGGATGCCCTGAGACAAGTATCTAGAAAGGTCTCCGCGCGGTCTCCCTCTTTTACCTTGTCTGCCTCCTGGCTGACTGCCAAAGCACAGGATATTTCCGCGGCGCCTCCTCCATACACCACACGGTTATCACGGATGAGGTTCCGGATGACACACAGAGCGTCGTGCAGCGATCGTTTCGCTTCCTCGATGATCTGGAGAAGAGCTTTGTCTGAATTAATGTCGTCAAGATCTACTCATTTCAGAGCCCAAACTTGGCAACAGTTTACTCTACATTCCTAACAGCTCCCATTAAAACCATCTTGGTTAAAAATAATGGAGAGCTCCCCGCTGACGTGCCTGGGAAGGCAGAGGATGCCAGCCCAAGTGCTTGGGACTCTGCTCACACAAAGAGGAGACTTGGAAGAGGCTCCTGGCTTCAGCTTGGTTCAGCCTTGGTCTTTGCAGCAGTTTGGGGAATAAACCAGAAGATGGTAGATTTCTCTCTTTTTAAAAGATTTATTTGTTTGAAAGGCAGAGCTACAGAGAAACAGAGATATCTTCCATCCACTGGTTCACTCTCCAAATGGCTGCAACAGCCGGAGCTGGGCTGATCCATCAAAGCCAGGAGCCAGGAGCTTCTTCCGGTCTCCCATGCGGGTGCAGGGGCCCAAGGACTTGGGCCATCTTCTACTGCTTTCCCAGGCCATAGCAGAGAGCCAGGACTCAAACTGGCGCCCATATGGGATGCAGGCACCGTAGGCAGTGGCTTTACCCACTACGCCACAGCACCAGCCTCTCTCCATCTCTGCTTTTCAAAATAAATTCCAAAACAAACAAATGGAGATAGTACACTGCAGTTACTTACACAACCTTCATTTGTTCAGATGATTTCTACTGTCACATCTCTCCTCCCCACAATGTCGCTACCATTCAGAGGCAGCCACAGTGACTCATTCCAGGACATACCATCAAGCAAGGGAGTGAAAATTCAACCAGGAAAACATCACAATTCATTCATCACAATGTGCCAAAAATTTGTTCTTGAAGAACTGAGGGATTGGAAATGGTCATTTAGGTGGGACATGACCACAGGCAAATGTGCCTTGCAAACCCAACACCAACAGGGTCTTCAGCCATCTGACACCACAATACTTAATGTTTCTCAGAGAAAAGTGACTTTTTCTTAAGGCAATTACCTGATAAATACATTAAGGGCAAACGATGTACCAAGATCAGAAACAATGTGAAGTGAATTCTCACCATTTTATTTCCTCCTCGAATGAAAATGGTCACAGCTCTGGAGTTCTTACACTGCTCAATAACCAGCATTTTGTCTTTGGTTGTCCCAAATGAGATCTCCTGGACAAGCCCAGCAAAGCCCAGCTTCTCAGGTGTGAGCTCTGAGAATCGCGGGACGATCCGTCCTCCTGTGGCAATGGCGATCAGCTACATTGGTGTGCGTCAGGGAGACAAGACACAGTCAGCAGACAGTTAAAACTGGACTGCAAATCAGTCAACCCTGATCTTGGACTCTTGTTTACTAGAACTACTGCCCCACTCCTGCTAAAACCCTTCAAGTTCAATGCAAGGAACCTTTTAAATGAACATGTTCTGAAGATCTGGGGGTCCTGGCTCCTCCCACACTGTGTATCCCAGCATCGCAAGCCTGCAGCCTGGTCTCCCCTCTGGGCCCAGCTCATGAGTTAACTGCCACTGGGCTGCGGAGAAGACCCAACAGAATGTGTGCTCAGGTTCCCCACTGGCACCTGAGTCGGTGGTTACCACCTGACTGACAACAGGGCTGGGACTAGACTGCCCGCCTCAGAAAGGCAATGAGAAGACACATGGAAAGCATTTCAAAAAGCCCTGAGACACCTCAAACCCACAGCACCGCTCATTCAAACCAGGACAAAGGGCCCAGCACCTGTCTCTCTCCCATCTGGCAAGCCTGGGCATGCCGTGGTTATCCAAAGCGAGTGCCTAAATGCACTCGTGCTCTAAGCTCAACCCTCCCCATAGAAAGGCCTTTCCACAGGCAGTTCCCTACCTCAATCTCCGGCCCGCCTACCCAACGAACTGCAGGCAAGTTATTCTGAAGAAGTAAATGATTGGCTTCGTCATCAAAGCCCCACTGGCAGATAGCAAGGTTAGCACCAGTATCCTTTATCTGCGAAAAGAACGCCACATCATGTCAGTAACAGGCAGCTATGTTTTCTGCTGCAACATCTGCAGAAAAAGGGGGAGATGCACAGGTGGGTGTGACCTGGGCACATCGCAATAACCCCCTCCCCCCACCCCCCAGCACAGAAGAGGCAAGGAAAATGTTAAGTCGCTACTTTTCTATTCACTCCAAATGCATTTCTACCAATAGGCATCATTTTCAGAACCACGCTTTATAAAAACCACAGTCGGGGCTGGTGCCGTGGCACAGTGGATAAAGCTGCTGCCTATGGCGCAGGCATCACATATATGGACACTTGTTCGAGTCCCAGCTGCTCTACTTCCAATTCAGCTCCCTGCTATTGTGCCTGGGAAAGCAGTGGAGGATGGCCAAGTGCCTGGGCCCCTGCACCCGTGTGGGAGACCCAGAAGAAGCTCCTGGCTTCAGACTGGCCCAGCTGAGGCTGTTGCAGCCACTTGGGGAGTAAACTAGAGGATGGAAGATCTTTTTCTGTAATTATCTTTCAAATCAATCAATCAATCAATCAGTCTTAAGGAAAAAAAATCAACAATTCATGCTGATTCTCACTTTTATAGTGAAGCAAAAGATTTGTCACCGAAGCTTCCCTCTCGCCCTGAGCCAACAGGCTGGTGCACCTTTGGAGGTGTCTCCCTGGGGTGTGCTCTCATCACAGAGTGCACCGAGCTGGTCTCAGCTGACTGGACAGCAGTCCTGCTTCTAGCATGACCCCTTCTTCCTCCAAGGAGGAGATGGCTGGAACAGCCCATCCCTCCCCGTGGTGACTGCACTGTGCCCCACAATCCCTGCTGCCTGTGCTGACCCGGCCTCCCAGATCACAATCTCCACACTTCTTTCCTTCCCCAACTCCCTGGACCTGAGGCCGTTCCACAGCACACTTCACAGGCAGTGTTCCCACATCCTGGCTGCAGGCCAACCCTGCACCCCCACCAAGAACCTACCTGTCCCACTTCCTCCCAGAATGCCAGTCACTTCCCTCTCCTCTCAAATGGGAAAGGGGCCTTCTTGGACCTCACAGTCCCCTACGAGTTCCTCTTTGGGTCACTACTCGTCACTCATTCTTTCTCCCCACAGTATACCTCAGACACCAGGCTTATCTTTACAACTGTGACGGGGCAGCCCCGCCCACTCAGGCTGGCAGCAGGAGTCACCCAGCCTGGCATGGCCCGGGACTCTCCTCTCACACCCAGCCCTGCAGGGCCCCGAACCTCCTCCCCAGGGCTCTGCCCCTACATCCCTTTCCTAGAGCCCTTTCGCAGGCAGTGCCGTGGGCCCAGCCCCACTGCCCTTCCCTGCAGGGGCACGAGGGTGGGTTCTCTCACCACTGTCCTTTACTTATTAAAATGCCTGCTGGTGTGCTTGCTACAGTAAATAATGTCCCATCCAATCGTCACGGCCAGGGGTTCTCGAGGGTGAGTCTCTAACGACTCTGCCAGGGATCCTGCTTCAGGTCACACTTGGTGGTGTGCTCCACGCGGCATGCCCAGCCCTGCCCCGCCCCGCCCCTCTGGAGCAGCAGATCTGCACAACCTAACACACGGCTCCAGGGAATGGTGCCCATTCTTCCAATCACCCTACTCGTCACCACTTAACATTCTCCCCTTTGACATTTTTGCATTTCTCACTGTGTCTGTTTACTACCTGTATACTTCAAGGTGAGGGCAGACGACAGTGCGAACGTCACCTGTGGCCACAGAGCCAAGTGTCAGGATACCAGGGAAGTGCCCGCGCTGACCCGTCTAACCACCCGCACCTGAGTTCCCACTGCACAGCACCATGACGAGACTCACTTGCTGAATCATCTCTTCAAACTTCTCCTTCTCGTACTTCTGAAGGGCTTTGAAGTCTTCCACAGAGGTCACGTCCAGCTTATGCTTGGTCTTCGGCTTCGGCGGTTCGAATGGACAAGTGAGAATTGCGATCTTGGCGTCTTCCACTCTCTGCGAGGAAAACGACACTTTAAGCAGTGGATTTAAGAACTGAGAGGCAGGGCCAAGCTGTGGCAGGCAGCGACTTACCTTCGGCATCTGTGGGTGACTGAAATCCTTATCCACGATCACGCCCTTGATGAGCTGAGTGTCCTCCAGCCTCCCGCCCACTTTGCCTTCTACTTTGATGAGCTCAAAATCCACATCTCTGCGCTCCATGTCTGCCACTGTGAGGACAGCATTCACCGCGATCTCAGCCATCTGCCGGTGACAGCTGTTGACCCTGATGAAACAGCACAGCACACGCTCGGCACCTCCGTCTCACGGTCATGGGAACCGAAGCAGACCACACGGTGACCAGGAACTTGCACAGTTATGGGAGCAAGGCTGTCCTGCCTTCAAGACAGGGATGGTACCACCACCCGCCTTCTCCACCGCCTGGGGCTGGATTCCTCGTCTGGGATCCACGGACTCACATGAAGGAAAAAACGCATCTTTCATTTTCACCAACTCTGAGACCGAGCATTTACAACTGTTAGGAATGTCTGTAAATCTCCACAGTCTACGGCAAAAGTCAACACTTCCACTAGCATTTCACAAGTTTAATAGAATGGGAAAGGCAGGAAGCACGCCATTTCTGAGGACGGAAGGGCCTTGACAGGGAAGCCCACCGTGGCATACTCCCCATTCCCCCCAGCCCAGCACCAAGTACAGAAGACGGGGCTGCCATTTCTGAACTCTCATCCTCTGAACAGACTGCTCATCAAACCCGTCTAAATCACCAGTGACCACTTCACGCAGCTTTCCCAAACAGGCACACAAGTGGCCTCCTCCACCAAGGCTCAGCCGGCCCCTCCCACCAGCACGTACACTTTGGAGCCCAGGGTGGTCTTCGCCGTCTGGATGAGGGGCTCGGTGTCCTTCATGTCCACAAGGACGCTGTCGCTGATCTTGTCCAGGTGCTCAATGGCAATGCGGGCAGCCTGTTCGTAGCCATCGGCTATTCTGATCGGGTGGATGCCCCGGTCCAGCAGCTGCTCAGCCTCCTCCAGCAAGGCACCAGCCAGCACTGCACACAAGGCAGCACTCAGTTTAGGAAGAATCTTAGAACTTAACGCTCCCCGTAACCAATGAAATGAGGTGGACCTCAGAAATGACCAGGTCCCAGAGTTAGGCTAAAAGTCGTCTCAGGAGCTGAGGCTGCCTACTTTTAAAGGAGAGCCTCCGCTGGTTCCAGCAGGGGTCTAACAGGTCTCTTTCTGTTGCCGACCCTCAGGGATGCTAGCACACCTGGAACAGTGCCTGGCACACAATGGTTCCCAACAAATGCCTGGCAAACAGATTACCTGCAGAAAAGGCACCTCAGGTTTTCCTTTCTGTCGTCTTCTTACTTATTATTAACACTGAGCCATGCTTTTTCAACACATGCATCTAGTTTTTCAGCTCAAGTATTTGAGAATTAGTGGCAGAAATCATGACACGTTGAGATTACAGATTATTTATTTGGAAGGGAGACATAAATACAGACAAAACAGAGAGAGCTCTCCTATCCTCTGGTATAACCCTGAAGACCCCAGCAGCACAAACTAGGTCAGGCTGGAGCCAGGAGACTGGGAGCTCAATGCAGGTCTCCCAGATGGACTGCAGGGGCCCTGCTGCCTCTCAGGGTGCGTGTTCGCAGGAAGCTGGGAGTAGAAGTGAGAAGGGACTCAAACCCAGGTGCTCTGATATGGGACACTGGGGTCTCCAGTGGCATCACAGCCCCCATGTTAAATACCCAAGCTTAAATATTTTAGCAGACAGCAGAGAACAACGGCATTCTCCCACATCACCGCAATATCCCTGTTTTATATGGAAACCCAACACTGACCCAACTATTAGATAACAAGTGATCCATAATCAAACTCCCGAAGTCATCCCAAACACCCAAAGCTTAAGAACACACAAGACAAATACTGCCCCCCGCCCCAGCATCCACTCATCCAGTCGACAATGACATGCTACAAGTGACTGTCCCTTCCTATCACCTGGCTCCCCATCCCCTCTCTGTATCACTGTCACAAGTGTGGAACACATGTTTTCTCTACCTTGGGCGGTTTCCCTGGGCAGGCATGGCAGCCCTGAGATTCTAAGTGATACCTCCGAGATGAGAGAGCACATTTTGCCTTTTCTTACCAACCACTCCTGTGGTGCCATCCCCGATTTCGTCATCCTGGGATTTGGACAGCTCGACCATCAGCTTGGCAATCTGGTGGTCGACATCCATCATGCTCAGAATGGTGGCACCATCATTAGTCACGGTGACATCGCCATCCTTGTCCACCATCATCTTATCAAGCCCTGAAAAGACAACAGCGCTTAGAAGGTCTCTGGGTAGCCGGCGCCGTGGCTCAATAGGCTAATCCTCCACCTTGCGGCACCGGCACACCGGGTTCTAGTCCCGGTTGGGGCGCCGGATTCTGTCCCGGTTGCCCCTCTTCCAGGCCAGCTCTCTGCTATGGCCAGGGAGTGCAGTGGAGGATGGCCCAGGTGCTTGGGCCCTGCACCCCATGGGAGACCAGGAAAAGCACCTGGCTCCTGGCTCCTGCCATCGGATCAGCGCGGTGCGCCGGCTGCAGCGGCGGCCATTGGAGGGTGAACCAACGGCAAAGGAAGACCTTTCTCTCTGTCTCTCTCTCTCACTGTCCACTCTGCCTGTCAAAAAAAAAAAAAAAAAAAAAAAAAAAAAAGAAGGTCTCTGGGCACAAAAAATTTGCAGCCAGTACCAAGCACTATAAAATATAAAAAAGTTAGGCCTCCTGAGCCAGTTCTGGTCTATGCAGTTTATCAGGAACAAGTAATTCAACAAATATCAACAATATTTTTTAGATTGGCTAATATAAAGCAAAATGCTGGAAATTAACTGAAATGGCTGAAGTCAGAGAAATGGTAAAAAAGGATTATGGGGCTTCACTAAATACAGTACTACTCTCAAAAAATAACAGCTCTGATTTTGTGAAAACATTACTGAAATGACAAGTGGAAAAAAAAGGTCTGCCCTGAAATTACATGCATGTTCGGGTCATGACTGCGTTTAAGATGTCTGAAATGTGCCCCAAAGCTTTGGCTGTGTTGGCTGTCAGGATGCGCCCACCTCCATCTTTCCGTGACAAGGTCGTCCAGATTATTTTATGATTTAAAACTTCTAACACAGAATGTCAGACTCTTACCATTTGGTCCAAGTGACGTTCTCATTGTATTTGCTACAGCCTTTGCTGCCATTATATGAGACTAAAGGAAACAGAAAAATCAAATATTCCATTACACATGACTTCAACAATTAACAGTAAACAACTGATGCATAATATATTCAATAGTTAGTAAAATACAGCTGATGATCACAAATCACTCAGAATAGTTTCTGTTCTCTAGAAGTTTTTACAACTTCTAGGATAGGGTTGAGAACCTCTTGTTCACAATGTATGGTCAGAAATATTTTAGATTTTCAATTTTTTTGGATCTAGGAATATTTTATAGACTCTAAAGACTGAGGAAAGCAATCTGAAATGCCCCCAAATCCAAAATCTTTGAACATCCTGTCAGTACTCAGAAAGCTGTGGGTTTCTGAGGATTTCAGATTTCTGGATTAGGGATGGCCACCCTGTACTGGCTTCAGTACACGATTCTTATGTAAATGAAACAGGACCAAGTGTCCTGGACAAATCCCTTACCCCTCAACACATCAATGAGGCAGGTGTTTCTGCACGTAGTCTGACCTGAGAGGCACTTGAACAGTCATGCTACAGCTTACTGCACAAACACACTTCTTTCAACTAGCTGAGCCGATATATAACCCACACACAGCAGTCATCCTTGCCTGTCCAAGTTCTTAAGATCAACTGATTCTGAAAGAAGCCACGTCCTTACAAATGACTACCAATTTAGTTAGTAGGAGTGATTCTGTGCATGCACATAATCAGGTAGCCTGCCATTTTAACCAGCTTGTTCTTTTGCTTAAAAACCTTCCTCTGGGGCCAGTGCTGTGGCTCAGCAGGTTAAATCCCCGACTTGCAGCGCCGGCATCCATCAGTTCAAACCCTGGCTACTCCACTTCTGATCCAGCTTCCTGCTAATGATGCCTGGGAAAGCAGTGGAGGATGGCCCAAATCCTTGGGTCCTTGCACCCACATGGGAGAAGCTCCTGGCTCCTAATCAGCTCAGCTCCGGCCATCTGGGAAGGAACCAGCAGGTGGAAGACCCCTCTCTCTCTGTTTCTACCTCTAATTCTTCAAATAAATAAAATAAATCTTAAAAACAAAAAAATACCCTTCCTCCACTCTGCTGAAATTCCAAGTTATAATTACGGACCAAAGTTGGCAACCTCTTAAGGAGGGCGAATAGCTGTATCAGAGTGATTTGTTTTCCTCACCACCCCTAGCTACTACACTGAGTACAAGACATAAATATTTTAGAGAGAGAGAGTAAGAGGCAGAAAACAAAGGTGGTGAGGGATTTGGCAGACAGGAAGACACCTCGTCCAGCTGCTCAGGAAAGTGGAAGAAACGCTCTTCCACCCACTTGCAGCTCCGCGGAGTCTACACACCCACACTGCAGACCCAACAGGACCCCGCCAGCGCGACTGCAAACTCAGCTGCTTTCATCTGGGTTACTCAGGTTCAGAGCCCAAGTCCCAGGTACTACTGCGTTAAGATAGAACACACTGCCATTTTTAACTGAAAAAGTCTCAATAAAGCACAGATTTCGTTTCAGGATCTAAATGACAAGGGGGAAAAAGTGCTTATAGCCTTCACCCATGAGAATGTTCAAGTCTTGGTTTATGTCATTTCTCTTCCTGATGCCTTCAATTCTTCACATATTTTGGTCCCACTTCTCTGCAGGAGAGCCAGGAACAAGTCCATGACCCCAACACAGAGCCTGGTACTCAACCACACCAATCCAGGCAGTGCTGTGAACAGGCCTCGGGACTGACGTCTACACTCTGAGGAGAACGTGCCGCTCACTGCACCTTGTGTGCAGGTTCAGTCATTCCCAGAGTAGAGCAGTCCTGGGTGGTGGTGGTGGGGGGTGTTAGTCACCGCCAACAGTCTTCCTGGCAGAGCATCCTGCCCCTCCACTCCGCCTGGGAAAGACCCTTCCCCGTTTCCACAGGTAACTGGTCTGCGCTTCCTTTCTCTCCCTCCTTGCCATCATCAGCCTAACCAGACCCAAAGCAACCACAGAATCCCAGGACCACTGAACCCACCTCCCCTAAAATTCCCCACAACCAGGCAACCAATCCGCCGGCTAACTACGCTCAAATGCTCTGCTCACGACTTCCAAGGCTTCCACGATCCCTAGTGTCTCAGCACTCGAGTTCAAAGCGCTCCAGGATCGAGACCTAGCTGCCGCCCCTCACACACAGCAACTCCCCAAGGCGGCTCGGTGGTCATCCACCTGGCAGGTTACAGAAGACATAAAAGGTCCAACTGCGAAAACACAATTACGCCTTAAATACATGCCGAGTTACAGGTCAGTGTAACGAGAAACCTAAATAACACTCTAGGGAAGTGGTGGTGGCGGGAATTCTTTCCCAGGACAACTTCTGGTTGGTACAACTGGGCAGGGGGAACCTCGGCACAGTGGACAGAGGCCAAGTGCTTAACATCTACACGGGCCAGGGCCCCGAATGGGCAGTGATCTGGCCCCAGGCGTCAGCGAAGCCGCGCTGAGAAAGCAGCTCTAGACCGCGGCCCCGAATCACGGTCCAGCTACCCAGTCGTATGCGACCCTGCAGCATCCTGCGAACACCCGTCTCAGTTTACGGCGGTACCACACAACAAGCTGTCGCTTAATTATGCTTTACGTGTGGTGCGTGTACTGGAGCTTTCTCCGTGGATCCCTAGAACTCAACAATGGAATAAATCTGTAATACCAGCAGCCTGAGCCCTATTCCCTGGAAGGGAAACAAACAGCCCCGAGTCCCCGGCTCGGCAGAGACGACCCGCCCTGGGAGTGAGGCTGCGAGTCCGTGGGGGAACCGTGCTGCTTCCGGATCCAAGCACAACCCCGAGCCCCCAAGGGAGCTCAGGGCGGACCCCGGGCTGCTCAAGTCCTCCGCGCCCTCCGCGCCCCCCAGCCTCTGCACCCTGTCAATCATGAGTTCAGCTGGCCCTCCTCCCTCTTCCCTCCGCCCACCCCAGCCTCGGCGGGGAAGCCCTTTTCCGTCGGGGTGGCGTCCCGGGCTGGCAGCTTCGGGAACCGCTGCGACCTCAAGTCGGCTGGGCCCCGCTGGGACCCCCTGTTTACGCCTGGCCGCCCCCGTACCCACTCGTCACACGCGCCCATCTCCCACTCCCGCTACGGCTGCGCTCTCCTTTGAAGGATCTCGTGTTTTTACGAGCGCGCACCCAGGACTGGGCCACGCACAGAGGCACACGCTGTCAACGACCACGGCCTCGCGAAAGCAGGGCGAACCCCGTTTCTCAGGGGCTGCCGCGGGGTTCAGCGCGGGGCGGCCCTAACGGCGCTCGCGGGCCGCCGGACCCAACATTCGGAGAGCGAGATGCGCCCAGGGTGAGGCGATTCTCGACCTTTCGGGGAGCACATGGCGAAAACCGCGGCCCACCCTGCGCAGGCGCAGAGCCCCGGACGCGGCCGCCTCCCCTTAGCCCGCCACGAGCGTCTTCGGGCCCCTTACCTTGAGAGCTTCAAGTCCCATAAGACGAGACTTGCGGTCCTGATCCTTGATAATGAGGAAAGGGCGCCCATATTCATCGAAGGCGAGGGTCCCCACGGACGCCATGGTTCAGCAGCAGGAGTTACTTTCCTGCAACCGGCAGAGACCACGCCGGAACCCAGAACACACCTTCCTCTCGCGAGAGAGCGCAGCAGCTCGCGCATGCGCAATGCGGACAGCGCGAGACTTATTTTTCAACTGAAACTAATTTGACGCCAGACAGTACCTTCTGGAATCGGCGGCCTTTGGAAACTTCTATTATCCGGGAAGCTGTAGGGGGGGGAGGAGCTGAAGACTTTTAGAACTCACAGGTCAAGAGTAGGAATAATTGAATCATTACCTAAAGATTTATAATTGATATCTTCTTCGTAGTGAGTTACAACGAAAAATTATTTTCTTAAAGCATTGTTTTACACTTCTTCTCACCCCGGCTCTGAGAAGATGGTAGCTTCCACATCCCCCCCGCCTTTTTTTTTAAGAGTGCGGAAATCTCGCGATGGAAGGAGGAGGAGGTGAGGCCGGAGCGGCGTGCGCGGGAGGGCGCGCGGGCCTGGCGCTGTGGGGCCGTCGGTGTCGTCTGAGCGCGGGAGCGGGCCGCGGGCGCCCCCGGCCCCAGGCGGCCGTCCTGCCCCTCGGCGCGCTGCGCCAGCCCGGGCCCCGTTCTCGGGTCTGCGGCCTGTCCGCCAGGACGCTTCTGGGCGCCTTTGGGCGGATGACTGCCGTTAGCTCGGCCCTCGGGGTGGCATGGCGGTGTCGCAGGCCCACGGCGCGGGCCGTGCTGGGGAAGTCGCTGGACCTCCGCGCGCCGGTGTCCTCGTGTGACATGGCCGTGAGAATGCCAGCGTGTGCCCTCCAGGGCTGCTGTGAGGGCGCAGAGCGCGCAGTGCCCGGCCCCGAGCCAGCCTCGTACGCGGGCGCCGCTGTGGCTTAGTGGGCTAGGGCCCCGTCTGGGCTCCACTTCGGGTCCGGCTCCCTGCTAATGGCCAAGTCCATGGGCGTCTGCACCCGCGGGGGAGACCTGGAAGAAGCTCCTGGCGTCAGCCCGACCCAGCCCTGGCCCTTGGCAACCATCTGGGGTGTCAATCAACGGGGTGGAAGATCTCTGTCTCGTCTCTCTTTGAAATAAAAAAAAAAATTTAAAAAACAGTAAACCCTGATTTCCCACAGCGGGTCCCATTCTTGAGCCCTGTGCAGGGCCGCCTCACAACCCCGCCCGACACCCCCCTGCCCTGATTCCCTTTGCTGCCTTTACTTCAGGGTCCACGGCCCTGGCTGCCTTCTCCACGCCAGCCAGGCTGTGCCCAGTAAACGAGGACCGGGCGCGCACCGTGAGGCTGAACTCTGGCTGGGGAGTCCAGAACGGACCCTCACAGTCGGCCCACCCTCCGCAACTGGAGTGGTGCTCCCCGGACATTTTAGATCCTGGAGCCTCCGTTCCTTCTTGCTTGGCGGATTCAGTGTTTGCGCGCTCAGAATGGTGAATTCCGCCAGCCATTTGGTTCATTAGGTTGTTGCGGAAAACCGGAAATGCTTAATGACGGCCCCCGCGCAGGTTGATCAGTTTCAGGCATTCCCAGGGGCTGTGGAATACTGTGCACGGCGGTGGTGCTGGAATTTTTCCCGTATCAATAGCTGGTAACTACCGAAAGGACGTCTGCAGGCCCGTCCAAGCAGGGTTTCTTCCACGTGAGATCATGTGCTGGGGGGTTGTAAGATGGGCGTTGTGGTGAAGTGTGTGCCTGGATGCAAGTACACGTGACCAGTCCTAAACATTGTGGTGTTCAAATGTAAATCCTGCTGTAACCTGTGTGCTCGGCGTTCCCTGCACACCTGCTCGCTCTTCCTGATTTCTTCCCTTTATTTATTGCTCTGAGCCTCTCTCCCTCGCTCTTTTTGTTTTAGAGATTTATTTAGTTGAAAGGTAGAGTTACAGAGAGAGGAGAGACAGATCTTCCATCGTTGCTTCACTCCCCAAATCGCTGCAACAGCCAGCGCTGTGCCAGGCCAAAGCCAGGTACCAGGAGCTTTTTCCAGGTCTCCCATGTGGGTGCCGGGCCCAGGGACCTGAGCCATCTTCCATTGCTTTCCCAGGCGCCTTAGCAGGGAGCTGGATCAGAATCGCAGCCGCTGGGACAGTGCTCACACAGGACGTCAGCATGGCAGGCCGCAGCTGGCAACAGCGCCATCCCCTGAACTTTCAGTATTTTTTTTTTTTTTTAAGATCTTTATTTATTTGAGAGGTAGAGACAAAGGTCTGCCATCTGCTGTTCACTCCCAAATGGCTGCAACTGCCAGAGCTGAGCCGATCTGAAGCCAGGAGCCAGGAACTGCTTCCAGGTCTCCCAGGAGGGGGCAGGAGCCCAAGCACTTGGACTGTCCTCTGCTGTTTCCCAGGCACACTAGCAGGGAGCTGGACTGGAAGTGGAGCAGCTGGGGCTCATACCAGCATACATAGGAATGCCAGTGCCACAGGCAGTGGCTTAACCCCCTGTGCCACAACACTGGCCCCTAGTTTGATCTTGAGTAAGAACTCTGTGCATTTTGCACATCTCAGTCACTGCGTCTTTGGGTGACCCAAACCTGTCACTGAAAATGGAAGTTTTCTACCAGCGTGAGAAGTCGGTAAGCAGACAAGGCCTGCAGACAGCGGACTAGACATTAACCTTGCCTGGCCTGGACCCCTCAGTGCTCACCGAGAGTGCGGGCCACCATGCTCTGATGTCGTAGAATAGATCCGTGCCCCACAGAGCACATCTGACAGAAGTGTCCTGTCATTCTTTATCTAAAGTAGTCCTGTGACATTCAGTTTGTACAAACAGCTTTTTTCTGTTTATAAAGATTAATTTATTTGAAAGGCAGAGTTACAGATGGAGAGGGAGAGACAGATCTCCCATCCACTGGTTCACTCCCCAGCTGGCTGCAACAGCTAGCACTGGGCCAGGTGGAAGCCAGGACCCCAGAGCTCCATATGGGTCTCCCATGTGGGTGGCAGGGCCAAGCACTTGCGTCATCTTCGTCTGCCTTTCCCAGGCCATTAGCAGGGAGCTGGATCGGAAGTGGAGCAGCTGGGACATGAACCAGCACTCATATGGGATGCCAGCATTGCAGGCTGAGGCTTCACCCACTGTGGGGAGCAACTGGGAGCAACTCGGACTAGACTAAGTTACTGGAATTAAGACTTATTCTAGGCCGGCGCCGTGGCTCAATAGGCTAATCCTCCACCTTGCGGTGCCGGCACACCGGGTTCTAGTCCCGGTCAGGGCGCCGGATTCTGTCCCGGTTGCCCCTCTTCCAGGCCAGCTCTCTGCTATGGCCAGGGAGTGCAGTGGAGGATGGCCCAGGTGCTTGGGCCCTGCACCCCATGGGAGACCAGGAAAAGCACCTGGATCCTGGCTCCTGCCATCGGATCAGCGCGGTGCGCCGGCTGCAGCGGCGGCCATTGGAGGGTGAACCAACAGCAAAGGAAGACCTTTCTCTCTGTCTCTCTCTCTCACTGTCCACTCTGCCTGTCAAAAATTAAAAAAAAAAAAAAAAAAAAGACTTATTCTATGCATCTGCTCTCCCACAATATGGCGCTGGGAGAGGAGCAAACAGCTTCTACCCAGCTGCCTTTCACCAACTTGACAAGCTGCAGGAGCTGCTCCTGATTGGAGGAGAGCAGCGTACTCGGCGTGTGGGTAGCAAAGTTGGGATTGGTGGAAGAGGACTATAAAGGAGGAGAGAGACAACATGCACAAGGAACATCTAAGAGGAACATCTATCTGAAGGAACACCTGTGCAGCCCCCGAGAAGAGCCGGCCGGCGGTGTGCCGCTCCCCCGCGGAAGTGGGGAAAGTGGCTAGGGGGAACCGCCCTTCCACGGAGGTGGAAGGGTCGGTAGCCAACCCGGGAAGAACCAGCAGCAAACCCGGGGAGGGCCGAGCAGACAAAAGAACAGCGCAGGGTCCTGTGTTGTTCCTCCACGAAGACGGGGAGCGACAACCCACTGTGTCACAACACTGGCCCCATAGGGACAGTCTAGATTTTAGTTTTGCATGTTTAGGGACTGGTTTTCACTGTTAGAAATTAACACTTTTTTTTTTTTTTTTTTTTGGATGGAGCCAGAAGTATATAGAACCCCCACCCCACCCCCACCCTCAGGGAAGTACTCCACAGCCCCCAGTGCATGCCTGAAACCAAAGACTGGACTGAATTTTGTGATTTAATGCCTTTTCCATCTTAATTAAGCTCAACATACGGTAGTTATAACTTGCAGGTTAGCGTATGACAGCAGAGTAGCAGGAGTTTCTTTTTCCTTCACAATTTCCTGGCTGGAGATTTGCTTTAATTTGATCGTAGCAGCTTTAGCATGTGTGTTTCTTAGGTTTTTTAGGTTGAGAATTTCACCTTGTACGTGAAGTGCTTTACAGCTTCTCTTTGGCACATCTGAACTGCCGGCATCACTGCTCTAGTGTTTCGGGGCTGTCGTTATGTAAAGTGAAGGTTGTCATCAGCATAGGCACTGGGTTCTGTAGCAGTCCGTGTGGTGACCCACCTGGCTCAAGGTGGAGCTTACCAGGAGAAACAGTGGACAGGGGGCCAGATCGCCTCTCGGACGAGGTGGAGAGAAAAGCATCAGACTTCATCAGGCTGCTAGGAACGGCACTCAGTTCACAGCACAGCAGCTGTTTATTTCTGGAGTCTCCCTTTTCATATTTTTGAGCTGTGAGTGACAGGCTGCCTGGAACTGCTGTCCTGTGTCAGTTTACCTGGCAACTTGGTCCAGACCTCAGGCCGTAGGCACAAATCTTGTTTTTCCCACACAGACCTTTGTGATGAAAGGCTTTTCCAGGCATGGAAGCTCGAGATGGAAAACGCAGTGATTCCGTCTGGGACCCACTGCTCCCGGTGCTGCTCTGCCTCAGGAGACAGACGTGATGGTGACCTGTTTGAAACCTTTGCTGCGGCGCCGGCAAACAGCGCGAGCTCCATCGGTCTTCTGAGGCCTGCCTGCTGCCCTGCTCAGCGCACGCCGCCCTCCCTCAACTCTGAGCTTGCTGCCTTTGCCCCAGCTCAGATTCTGTATCTGCCAGCACCTCACTGGTCAGTCCCTCCTTCGCAGCCCCCTGTGTGTGGCTCAGCCAGGCCCCGAACTCACACAGGCAGATGGGAGGCCCTGCGGGCGGGGAGCTGTTCATTCTGTCGTTCGCAGGTCGAGCTGTAGGGCTCAGGATTCCGGTGGATTCGGTCCACCTGACTCATGGCTGTTCAGGAAACAGTGCGTAAACAGAAGGTGTTCTGTTCATGGGCTGATTCTACCCGGCCATGGAAAGCAGTCAGGTGCTGACACCAGTACAGCACGGGTGGAGTTTGGGACATCATGCTAAGCGGAAGGAGGCAGTCACAGACGGCCACAGGCATATGATTCCACCCCTCTCAGTCCAGAACAAGGGACTCTAGAGGGGAAAACTAGACTAGTGGATGCCCAGGCCTGGGGGCTGGGGGCGGGGGGTGCTGGCTGAAGAATAAGGGGTTTCTTGAGGTCATGAATGTGGTCTAAAATTGGCTGTGAATATATTAAAAACATGGAGTTGCACATGTTAGGTGGGCAAAATGTGTATGAATTATGTCTCAAAGCTGTTAGCAAATTGAGCATTTTGCCCCCAAATGGCGATGAGAATAGCAGTGAGCAGTCACCCCCAGTCTGAGTGCTGTGTGCTTTGTGTGCGTTGGTTATGTAACTTTTCCAATAGCCCTATGAGGATAGTATTACTACTAAGTCCTTTTTTACAAATTTTAAATTCTGGTTTAAAAAAAATAGCCGGCCAGCGTCGCGGCTCACTAGGCTAATCCTCCACCTTGCGGCGCCGGCACACCGGGTTCTAGTCCTGGTCGGGGCGCCGGATTCTGTCCCGGTTGCCCCTCTTCCAGTCCAGCTCTCTGCTGTGGCCAGGGAGTGCAGTGGAGGATGGCCCAAGTGCTGGGGCCCTGCACCCCATGGGAGACCAGGAGAAGTACCTGGCTCCTGGCTTCGGATCAGTGTGATGCGCCGGCCGCGGCAGCCATTGGAGGGTGAACCAATGGCAAAAAGGAAGACCTTTCTCTCTGTCTCTCTCTCACTGTCCACTCTGCCTGTAAAAAAAAAAAAAAAAAAAAAAAAAAAAAAAAAAAAGCCAAACAAACCATAACTGTCTCTTAATCTTACTGGTGGGAAAACAGGTCTTAGTCACAACTTAGTTAAACAACTAGTTAAGTCCTGAGCCCTCAGGACCACATGATCAGCTGGACTCTGTGCTGTACAACTGGAGTGCCAATAGGGTAATTTCCTGGTTTTTGTTTTTTTTTTTTTTTTTTTAGATTTTTTTTTTAATTTATTTGAAAGAGTTACACAGAGAGAGGAGAGGCAGAGAGAGAGAGAGGTCTTCCATCAGATGGTTCACTTCCCAGTTGGCCATGACGGCTTGAGCTGCGCCAATCCAAAGCCAGGAGCCAGGAGCTTCCTCTGGGTCTCCCACACGGGTGCAGGGGTCCAAGGACTTGGGCCATCTTCCACTGCTTTCCCAGGCCATAGCAGAGAGCTGGACTGGAAGTAGAGCAGCCAGGTCTCGAATTGGTGCCCATATGGGATGCCAGCGCTCCAGGCCAGGGCATTAACCTAACCTGCTGTGCCACAGCTTAGCCCCAAGGTAATTCCCTGTTAAGATGTGACAACTGTGCCTTGGCTGTTCTTGTATAGTCAGACCCATGGCTACTGCTGTGACGCATGCATGCCTCCATGGAATGCGAAATTTTAGCAGGTTGTTCATGACTTGGGCTTTCTGCCAGACACCAGCACCTTGTGAAACTTTGTTTTACCTCCAACCCTGGCGCTAGTAGTAGACACATCCCCCCTCAGTGGCACTGGGCTGTGAAACCAGTTTGAAAAATCCTTTTGGAGGTTGCAGGGGCAAAGCTGTGTCTTGGAATGTGACCTCCTCTGTGCTGTGCCCGCTTTGCTGTGTCCCGTGCTCACATCTGTAGCTCCTCAGCAGACACTGCCGCAGTTCACGGGCGGACCGGCCGCGTGATGTCCCCTCCAGGGTGTCTACCACCTCCCACTCCTGGATCCCGTGCAGATGTGATTACGGATCTGGAGAGCAGTGAGCGCGCTGGCCATGCTCTCACCAGGTCCTAACAGAGAAACGGGGGCCAGGCTGGAGGGATGCAGGACAGAGAGCCCAGGAGCATGGAGCAGGGTGGCCCTGCCAGCCCTCCGGAGCTGTGGTCGTGAAGGTGTGTGGTGCAGGCCCCCAGTGCGTGCAGATTTCTTGCTGCGCCTATGAGATGTGCACAGTGCGCCTCTTAAGTGGCTCATGGATGATGCAGCTGTGAACATTGACATCTGCCAGCAACGAGAATCTGTCCTTGCCCCTCTTTCTCCCCTGTTTGCTGTGGATTCTGGTGGATTCAGTCTTGTCCCCAGCTCCGTGGTGAACTGCTTCACGGCAGAGACTGGCTGTTCCCCAGGGGTCGCCGACAGTAGCGGCACGCCGCACACCTCTGCTCCCCTGTTCTCAGTGCTTTGCCTCCGTCCACTCATTTCATCCTCAGAACAACCCTGGGATCTCTGATTGACAGCTGAGGAAGCCAAGGTTCCACGAGGAGAAGGGATTCAGGGTCACAGGCTGGGAAGTGGCAGAGGTGGCACCCCAGCCTTGGCTAGCTCTGGAGGCCTCACGGGAATCGTGCTACTCTGTCCTGTCCTGTGCTGTCAGTAGTCAATGTCAAATCAGTATCAATTCCAAAACTTGAGATCCTGTTAAAAATGCATTTTAGGGGGCTGGCATTGTGGCGTAATGGATTAAGCCACTGCTACAGTGGTTTGAGTCCTGTCTGCTTTGCTTTTGGTCCTGCTAATGCACCTGAAAAAGCAGTGGAAGATGGCCCAAGTGTTTGGGCCCCTGCAATCTGCTTGGGAGATCAAGATTAAGCTCCTGGCTCCTGGCTCCTGGCTGGAGCCTGGCCCAGGCCCAGCTGTTGTGGCAATTTGAGGAGTGAACCAGTGGTTGGAAGATCTCTCTATGTGCCCCTCTCTGTAACTCTGCCTTTCAAATAAATCAAATAAATATTTAAAAAATGCTTTAAAATGCATTTTACAGGCCAGCACTGTGGCACTGTGGGTTAAGCAGGCATGTCATATGAGTGACAGTTCGATTCCTGTCTGTTCCATTTCCAATCTAGCTCCCTGCTAGTGCACCTGGGAAGGCAGCAGAAGCTGGCCCAAGAACTTGGGCACCTGCTATCCACAAGGGAGATACTTGGATGGTGTTCATAGCTCCTGGTTTCATCTTGGCCCAGTCCCAGCCATTGTAGTCATCTGGGGAGTGAACTAGCAGATGAAAGATCTCTCTGTGTCTCCCCTTCTGTTTCTGTAACTCTGCCTTTCAAATAAATCATTTTTTTAAAGAATGCATTTTAAAAGATAAAACTCAACAGGAGGGTATTGAAGGTACCATTTATTGTATAATCTGTGATGTATAATCTGTGATGGGTTTGTTTGCTAATTCTGTACTTGTGATGGTGTGGAAGTGATTACTTCTTGTTATTTTTGGATCTGCTGTTAAAAAAATCTCTAATACCACACTTATTTAAGATGTTTGGCAAAATCTGGTTTTTGTCCCCCTTACTACTTCAAAAGTGTATTTGTGATACTGGATTGTAATGCCAGATCAATATAATCGCAGAATCTTTTCATCCTATTTCGAGTAATACCTAGACATTTTCATGCTTATGGGTCTGAGGCTTACTCAATCTGAACATAAGAATATGGAGTGCATGGTTGAAACTTATACTAATAGATACTGAATTAATAAATTACTAGGTAAGTTTGAATGCATTATTTTCTAAGGATGACTCCTGGACACACACAAAATCATGTGTTGGAAAGTCTTCTATTAGTATTGAATAATTTCCTCTGAAGCACTTTTTGTTCCTGGGATTCAGAACTCATTGTGGAACCTTAAGCTTGTAACTTAGAGTGCATTGAGCTAAACTATCCTTTGAAAAGCATGAGTTTGTCAGGAGACAAACTTGTTACACAAGAAGTATCCTGGGCTCCAGGCTTGGTGCCCCTCGTGTGCTAGATTCTGCCTGTGCTCTCTCCATCTAGGTGCAGCCCCAGAACCACTTCAAGAGGAAAGCCAGGCACAGCCTGGGCTACCCCCCAGTCTTGAAGCCAACACTTTGAAGAAAAGCCGTTGGGGCTTGCTGCTTACGGGGATTGTAGGTGGGACTCTCATGGCTGTGTATGCGGTAGCGACACCCTTTGTGACACCAGCACTCCGGAAAGTCTGTTTGCCCTTTGTACCTGCAACTACAAAGCAGATCGAAAATGTTGTGAAAATGTTGCAGAGCAGAAGCGGATCCCTGGTAGACATTGGTAGTGGCGACGGCCGCATTGTGAGTTGTCCTAGAACATGTTGAGAGTCTGAGCCGGAATTGTGAACATTTCCACTTTACATTTGTTATGAGGATTATGGGAAAACTTGCCAAATCTTTGACAAAGTTTGAGAAGTGGGGAATTGTTTCATTTTGTGCTTGTTTGCCCAAATTCTGAAACCCCTAGCATGTGATTGGAATTTATCAGATTGTTAAGATGCTTGAGCCACTGGAGGCGACTTAATTAGAAACGGTTTGCCGAAGTGTGGCATTTCACTGTTTTATGTTTTTGCACCATAGGTGTTTGCCTCTTCATTTGTCTGATTTATCTGTGCACAAATACTACTTCCTATGAAAAAAAGCACAGTTAAAATGAGCACAAGCCAGTGATGAACCCCTGCTTATGCAACGGTCAGACTTAGGGACCACTCACTTACACGTGTAGCTGGGAACCTGTAAATAAAGACACGAGGCCACTGCTTGTGAGATGAGTGTGTCAGAGCGTGTTCCTGTGTGAGCGGGGGGCCCTATCCTTAGGCCACCTCCTCACGGTGAGCTGAAAACAACCCAGCAATCAGAGAGGCTGGTCTTCTGGGCACCTGAGCATGAAGACCAGCAGTGCCCCACCTCCTCACCAGCCCTTGTGGCCCAAACCCTGTGATTCTTTGATCGTGACCTGGAATAATGAGGAAGATATTAAAAAGTAACTTGTGTTTTTAAATTTAAATTTTAAAAAATTTTAAGCACTGTGACAAAACCTTGAGGACTGGCCCACTGGCCCTCTGACTATTGGGATTCTACACTTGACTTTGTTCTAAGTTGGTCCTTTTTACTTTCGCCTGTTTTTGATTTTGAGTGAGCAGTCATTACATGCCAAGGAAGTACTTGCGTGTAACTAATTGCAGGTTTTTCTCGACAGGTTTTTTCTTGCATTCTTCCAGGCATGTTCGTGTCACTGCTGCCATGCCATCTCACAGGTGGAGAGACGTTGCAGATTTTCAGCAGCTTTGTGTTAGACCACGCAGGGGCTTGCTAGTCCAGAATTAATCATGCCTCCCTCTAAATCATGCCCGAATGCCTGTTCTGATACTTGAGGCGAAATCGCTGACAAAAATGAGAAACTGGGCTTAAGTGCGTTGGCTGTTACCTTGTCCACAAAGCCAGTTACTTTTTTGACACATGTTTGCATGGTGTCTTGAACAGAGAAGATCCTTTTTGGTTGATGTTTTAGGATTATAAACCATAAATAGGAAACATTCATCTCATTTGACCCTGGAAGTTGATTTTTTCTTGTGGTTAAAGCCCAGCCTCTCTCCACAGGTGGTAGCAGCTGCAAAAGCAGGGTTCACAGCTGTCGGTTATGAACTAAATCCGTGGCTGGTGTGGTACTCCAGGTACCGCGCTTGGCAAGAAGGTGTGCATGGCTCCACCAAGTTCTATATTTCGGATTTGTGGAAGGTATGTAAGGCAGAGACTGGTCTTAGAAAAATCCAGTGGAAACTTTTCTTATTCATGATTAGTATGACTTAAAGCTGAAACTGTATTAAAAAGAATGAAAATTCACGTGAATCTTTTGGCATATTGAAACATATACAAATTTTAAATTGATCGGTGTTACCAGTGGATTCTCTCTTAGTTTATGATAGGTCATTTGAATTCTAACATTTTGTTTCCTAAGTTAAAATGTTCTCATTTCTATTATGAAACGATGAGATGTTCCATTTTGTTTGGAAAGCCCGTGAATTGTTATTGATCAGTATTAGACCTGTCTGCCTTTGTGTACGTGTGTGCATGTGAGTGCATTTAGAGAGAGACCGAGATGGACAACACAGAAAAGACTCCGCCAGTCGTGCTGCCCTGGTTGCTGTTGTCACAAAGTACAGGATACTCCCAAATTGATTTGTATTCTTAAAGCCCTGTAATTCTGCCTTTTCAATGCCCCATAAAATGCTTTTCCTTAAATAAGGTTTTCCCACTGTAATGCTGTCATCAGTAGCTTATAAAAATTCACTAGGGTTTTGCTTGCATTGTTTTTCACACTGTATATTCGTAAATGATGTCTATAGAGTAAATAAGGCTTTTATTGGGTGATAAGCATTTTGACTGGGAAAGCACATTTTTCCCTGTTTTCCAACTAAAGATCATTTTATTGTATTTTTCATAGTATTTTAGAGGAGAGAGCGGAGGAATAGAATTTTAAGGGTGGTTCAACATAAAAAAACTGAGTGGTTCTGAAATCACTCGGGTTCTTGTCGCCCCAGCGTGGAGTCTGGTGGAGTGGAGTCAGAACGAGAGGCCTCTCACACCTGCTCCGTAAGGGTTTGTGCTACCGTGAGTGAGAGTGATAACGGCGTTCTTTTCTTCGTGAAAGTTTTGATGGGGGCCGCTCTTTTTAGGAGTTGGTGGAAACTCGCCATCAGGACAATAGCCGGCCGCCGCTCAGTGCTGGGAAACTTGGCTCTGCAGCTGATGCACTCAGCATTTCCCTGTCTCACGCAGGTCTCTTTCTCGCAGTACACGAACGTTGTTGTGTTCGGCGTGCCTCAGATGGTGAGTGTGCACTTTACCGTCCTCTGGGGCCCTGCTCGCCACCTCACACCCCCACCCCCTGTGTGCGGAGAGGGCTCTGGACTTCAGCTCCTTGGTTTAATAAAATACTTTTGGGCCTTAGAGGGATTAATTATTAAAGATGCAGTCATGTTTTAGAACTTTGGCGTCATACTCCATCTCAGTGATCAGTGTGAGCCTTAAAACTTCCAGTCTGAGCGGCTTCAGGAGGGCGCGGTGTCTGAGGAGCTTGGCGATTCCATGCCTGCTCACGCCGGCCTGCCCACCTGCCGTCCCTGGGGGCGCCGTTCCTGGGGATGCCCTCTGAACTCTGCAGGACGCCATCCTCAGGGCCCATGGGCACTGACTGGTTTCAGTTCACCTCAGCTGACTGAGGTGCCACAGACCCGAGGCCTGAACTTCGATCGCATGCTTTCCTGGGTGAAAATACCAGTGTTGGAGTGGGAGTGGTGCTTGTTGGCCTTTGGAAGGGCACTGAGTGTGCCTGGGGCTCTGCAGGCCATAGAGAGAAATCCCTGCTTCCTTCTTGAAGCCTGTAATCGCACCCATAATAATCTTGGTGGAATTGGATTTTTTGCTGAAATGCAATTATATAACTGATAGAATTTTTAATGTAAAAAAGGAAATTTACTTCTTGTTTTTATTTGTATGTTGATTTTATATAAGATGTTTCAGTCCTTGAGAAATTTGCTCTTACTTAGAAACTTCAATGTAATGCCATATTTAATTTTAAAAGACAGTGTAAAAGTGGTTTTGTTAAATATTCTTGAAAGTGTCAGTCTTCTGTATGTTTGCAGCTTTCATTAGGCCTACAATTAAGACCAGACTTTAGTATCTGCACTTCTGTTTTACACGTGAAAATAGTAGAAAGGCATAATTACTGATCATTTAAACATACCGTTTGGGGGCTGGTGTTGTGATGTGGTGGGTTAAGCTGCACTTGCAAAGCCAGCGTTCATTGTAGGAGTGCCAGATTGAGTCTTGAGTCCAGGCTGCTCTTCTTCTTCTTCTTTTTTTTTTTTTGACAGGCAGAGTGGACAGAGAGAAAAGTCTTCCTTTCCCGTTGGTTCACCCCACAATGGCCGCTGCAGCCGGCGTGCTGCGGCTGGCGCACCGCGCTGATCCGAAGGCAGGAGCCAAGTGCTTCTCCTGGTCTCCCATGCAGGTGCAGGGCCCAAGCACTTGGGCCATCCTCCACTGCACTCCCAGGCCACAGCAGAGAGCTGGCCTGGAAGAGGAGCAACCAGGACAGAATCTGGCACCCCAACCGGGACTACAACCCAGTGTGCCGGCGCCGCAGGTGGAGGATTAGCCTATTGAGCTGTGGCGCCAGCCTAGGCTGCTTTTCTGATCCAACTCCCTGCTAATGTGCCTGAGGATGGCTTAAGTACATGGGGGCTCTGCCACTCACATGGGAGACCTGGATGGAACTCCGGGATCCTGGCCCAGTTCTGGCCATTGCTAACAACTGGAGAGTGAACCAGCACATGGAAGGTCTCTCTCTCTCTCATTCCATCTCTCACTCTGCTTTTCAAATAAGTAATAATAAATATTTAAATAAACTATTTGGGATCACAAAATTGCCTTGGAATTAAAAAAAAAAAGTTACTTGCTTATTTGATAGACAAAGAGAACAAGAGAGAGCGCACTTCCATGCACTGGTTCACTCCCCACATGTCTACAACACCTGGGGCTGGGCTGGGCTGGAGGCTGGGAGCTGGGAACACAATCCTTGTCTCCTACGTGGGTGACAGGAGCCCAGCCACTTGAGCCAGCTGCCTCCTCCCAGGGTCTGCATTGGCAGGAAGCCGGAGTCAGGAGCCAGGGCTGGGAATCAGACCCAGGCACTCTGATGTGGGATGCAGGTTTCTTACCTGGCACCTTAACCAGTCGGCTAAATGCTTGCCCTGGATGTGGAATTCCCAGGGTGATTTACTATTTACTACGACATTTGGACTTTTCCTCTAAAGTGGAATAACTTGTGGTTTAGAGACAAGTAACTTTAATTTGAAATCCATGCTTTATAAAAAGAAAATTAGTGTTGCCTGGGAGGTCAGTAATGAGCTGGGAGCAGCGCTGCCAGCGGGGGCAGCAGTGGCCTTTGGGAGCTTCTAAACCTGTGGTGGCTGCTCCCGTCACTTCTTACGGAGCAGGTTGAGGCCGCTGTTTGGGCGCTGTTTGCTGAGGGAAACCAAAGTAACGGTGATGAACGTTTCTGCAGTCATCGCCCTTTCTTCTGCACACGGAGAAATCGTAGCTCTGGAGCTTGCAGCATCTCGCCGTTCCCCAGGGAAAGGGGAGCGGCCGGAGTCCCCGTTACAGGAGGGAGCGGACAGCCTGCACACTTGCATGCCCCAGGAGGGAGCGAGCCAGGTGATGGCTGCAGGTGGCCTGGAAGGCCCGGTTTTGTGTGTGGAGGCCCCCACGCTCGGCTCTCAGCAGCCTAGCCTGCGTGGGGAGCGTGAGGGGTGGGAGACTGCCCCCCTGCAGGTCGTGTGACCTTGGAAAGTCATTTAGCCCGTGCTGTTCTCAGTGCACTTCCCATTCCCTGAGCGCCAGCCTGTTTCCTGAAGCTGCAGTGCCACGTTGGCTGTGGTCGCCAGCGCACAGGTGGGTAATGTGAGAGCCAGAACGGCCTGTAGGGGAGTTCTCAGGTAGCAACCATGCTGTTGGAAATCCATCCTGCTGCTCGGATGCCATCGTCGTTGTTCCTAACAGCTCTCTGCAGGTGCAGCTCGTGCCCAGCCGGTCCATACAGTTGTGAATCGGCCTGACAGGACGAGGAGTCCCGTTTGGGTCTGTGGGATCTAAGATATCCACAGTTAATGTGGGCCTGTGCACAGAGCGTCTTTACAGAACGCACAGCAGATCAGTCTGAACAGTGTTCTGTTCAAAGCCTTCCGCGACTTCTTTGCCACTTTTGAGGATGTGGCCGAATCCCTCTGCATGGTCCCAGAGCTGGTGTGCCAGGGTCTCTGTCCTCCTCCTGCCTCACCTTGGCTGTGCCTCCCACCACGCTGCCCTCCACCCTCTGTGCTTCTCTTGATGTTGGACTTTGCTGGGCTCTTCTTCCTGGAGCCTGGGGCCAGGTCCTTCCCTGGGGACCACTCGCTGGCCAGCTGGCTGTCTTTGTGAAGTTCACCTTGATGTCCAGTTTTCAACTCCTGTAACACCTCACTCCCCTGTCCGAAGGGAGTCTGTACGTTTCTCTGCCTGGTGTCTCTGACGGTGTGTGCACTGTGAGCTCAGGGGTGGGGCCTGCACCCTGCTCACCGCCAGCTCACGCAGCAGCACCTGCCCAGAGTACTCGCTCAGAGTTTATTGACCAGTGAACACGATGCAGACATATCTGAGAAGGCTATTCACTCTCACCACTTCAAAGAAGTCTGATTCTAGTTACAAATCCTCTGATGAATTAATGCGTAAAGATCGTCATTATGTCCTGATAGAAGTAGATCGTGACCAAGTCATGTGTTCTTCCTTCATCCAACAAGTGTGGCCACTTCACCCCAGGCCCGTTCTCATCACTTGGAATATTTGTGTGAATGAGCAGAAAGCCCTCGTGCTGGGAGGTCCTTCTGTGCCAGTGGGAAGGGCAGACACCGAGTGAGACACGCACAGGAAGTCTATTGCGCGAAAGAAGAGGATGAGGGCTGTGGGACAGGAGAAAGGGCGGGCGGGCAGGACCAGGACGGGACCCCTGCATGGTGACGGGGAGGGGACCGTGTGGAGACGAGCGATCCAGGCCAAGGAGCAGTTGCTAGAAGATGCCTGTTGGGGCTGGGGAACTGCAAGCCTGCCCATGAGGGAGGATGTCAGATGGGAGGCAGGGCTGCGGCGTGAAGGACACTGGCCCTTCTGAGGGCAGGCACCGTTGAGAGTGAGCAGGGGAGGCTGGGAGGGCTCACAGGCCTAATGGGAACATGGCGGGCGGCGGGCGGCTTGTGAGTGTTCTGTGGTTCCAGGTGACGATGGCGCTTGGCAGCGCTTGGCTGGGGCTGGAGTAGCAGTGGGAAGCCGTCAGATCCTTCAGGCACCGTGGGGGTAGAATCGGCGGGATGAGTGCACTGATGCCTGTGGATGGGGGAGAAAGAGGAGTCCAGAGCAGCCCTCACAGGTTTGACCTCAGCTCTGGGCACCTGAAATTGGCGGACCCGAGCATGGGCAGAGCCGGGGGGGAGCGCTTGGGGTCTGAGTGCGGAGAAGCCCGGCTGTTGATGGGCATCCCCGATTTGTCTCATGCCTTTGAGCTTGTTCTGACTTGTGTTTAAAGTTTTGAAGATATAATTAGAATATGATGAGTTTGTGCCACTTTGAAACCTGTAATTGTATGAATAATTTTGAATTCCATTAGACAGACATGACACATCACTGCTTCTCTTTGTGTGTGATCTCAGGAACCAGATTCATTGCATATTTATGTGTAATTTAGCCAGTTAATTTCCTAAGATTGAAATAGCTTCTGGCCTGCACCACGGCTCAATAGGCTAATCCTCTGCCTACGGCTCTGGCACACCAGGTTCTAGTCCTGGTCGGGGCACCGGATTCTGTCCCAGTTGCTCCTCTTCCAGTCCAGCTCTCTGTTATGGCCCGGGAGTGCAGTGGAGGATGGCCCAAGTGCTTGGGCCCTGCACCCCATGGGAGACCAGGAGAAGCACCTGGCTGCTGGCTTCGGATCAGTTCAATGCACTGGCCACAGAGCGCCGGCCGCAGCGGCCATTGGAGGGTGAACCAACGGCAAAGGAAGACCTTTCTCTCTGTCTCTCTCTTGCTGTCTACTCTGCCTGTCAAAAAACAAAAAACAAAAAACAACTTCTTTCTTTTTTAGGTTTATCTTGACTTAGCGCATGACAGTCACTTGGAAATAAAAGAGACTATGAAGGAGAAAAGAATAATAGTAATATGAATGTTTACAATTACCCCTTTTATGAACAAAATTACCATAAGAAACCTCTGATATTTTGGAAAAACGCGTTTTGTCTCATTCTTTGCTTATTTAGCTTTCCCCTCAAGGAACAGAACTTTTTAAATTCTCTATTGGCTGTTTAAAGAATAGAAATCCTCCATCCGCAATGGAATTCATTCTCTGTTATCTTGGTATTGATTTTAATGAAGAATTAGGATTCTGGCTCATTCTAGGCCTGGGTCATATAGAGGAGTTTTTCCAAGCTGCTTTTGTAAGTTACAGGCCAGAGATAAAACCTTCGTGGAAGTGCTTGATTCATTTGTCTCACTTGAATTGGTTCCTTTTAAAAAGAAGTGGTTTTTGCTTAGATCTTTGACAAATGAGTGGTCAAGCACTGGCGGAAGAAAGATATGTAAGCCTGGAGCATTTTGTTGAGCTGGATTATAAGGCAGTGCTCGAAATATTTGATAGGAGGACATCCAGGGACCAGCGCTGTGGCGCAGTGGGTTAATGCCCTGGCCTGAAGTGCCGGCATCCCATATGGGCGCCGGTTCTGGTCCCAGCTGCTCCTCTTCCGATCCAGCTCTCTGCTATGGCCTGGGATAGCAGTGGAAGATGGCCCATGTCCTTGGGCTCCTGCACCCGCGTGGGAGACCTGGAAGAAGCTCCTGGCTCTTGGCTTTCGATCAGCATAGATCCGGCTGTTGCGGCCATCTAGGGAGTGAACCAGAGGATGGAAGACCTCTCTCTGTCTCTATCTCTCTCTGTAACTAAATAAAAAAATTAAAGCTGAATGACCCTAAATAAAAAGATACCAACCGTGTAAGAGGTTTTGTGCCATCTCGCAACTTAGAACACTAAAAATAAATAAATAAATAAAATAATAAAAATAAAAGATAAGAGAACATCCAAAGTATAGGGAAGCCAGCGGCAGGAGGCTCCCAGTGGCCGAACCAGAACACTCTGAACTCTAGAATCAATGAGGACTGTAATGGGTTATACTGAATGAAATAAGAATCCAGATGTTCATACTATAGATACTTAGAAAGATGGAGATCTAGGTGGACAGAGACAAGAGAAAGCTCTTTCTTGGAGTAGAATGCCAGCTATATTTCTAGAAGAATGATGGAATTAGCAGATCTCCACTTTAACATTGTTATTTTGTTTTAAAGATTTATTTTATTTATTTATTTATTTGAAAGTCAGAACTAGAGAGGAGAGGCAAAGAGAGACAGAGATAAAGAGAGGTCTTCCATCCGCTGGTTCACTCCCCAATTGGCTGCAACGGCTGGAGCTGCGCGGTTCCGAAGCCAGGAGCCAGGAGCCTCCTCCAGGTTTTCCCATGTGGGTGTAGGGGCCATCTTCCACTGCTTTCCCAGGCCATAGCAGAGAGCTGGACAGAAATTGGAGCAGCCAGGACTCAAACTGGTGCCCATATGGGATGCTGGCACTGTAGGCAGCAGCTTTACCTGCTATGCTACAGCGCTGGCCCCACCACTCTTATATTAAAAACAGATTCAGACTAGAATTGGTGAATGATTTCTGTTGTAGGAACCATCTAATGAGTAATAAATAGAATGTTTACATCAGCTCCAGTTGACTCCCTACATACCACACACTGATGATGAAAGGAAGAGGTGAAAATGTCATATCAAGATGGCCGCTGAGGTGAAAAGGTCATACCAAGATGGCCACTGACAACAGAAACTGCCTGGCAACAGGCCATGATTGGATGGCTTCAGAAACTACATGACAACAGAGGAAACCACATGACAACAGAGCCTGACTGACAGCAGGCCGTGATTGGATGGCTTTGGAAACTGCCTGGCAATAGGCTGTGATTGGTTGGGGCATAGACCGCTCCTTGACCGGATTGGCTGGTCTTGGCTATATAAGCTGTTGTACTAACAAATAAACGAGTCTGCGGGCTGCTTGCCTCAAGCCCGCTTGCCTCAAGCCCGCTTTCACCCAACTCCCGGGGTCTGTGTGGTGACTCCGCGCCTCTTGCCTCCACCAATCCACTGCAACATTGTTGAGAAATCAACTGCAACAACGGAGAAGCCAGATACTGTTGGGGTCTTAAGCCTGAGGCTAGCCCCTGACCAGCAGTGGCAGCACAAGCACTCCCCGACAAGGTGAACGGGAGAGGTAAGGTCGACGTGTCAAACACACCGCAAGCACCCATGAGTTCTGTCGAAGCAGGAACTACTTTATTGAGGAAGTGTACAGGCTTATAAAGCTTACAAAAGACATGCACAGTAGGGGAGCCAATCAGCGAAAAGGTCATGCAGGCATGGGTGGACCACGCACAGGGGCATCTTAAGCAAAGTATAGGGATCATGCACTGTCCATGTGTCTGGAACTAAAGCGGACCTATCCCTGCCGGTGGTCTGATCTTAGGTAGCTTAACCACAGCAGCTGCAGACACGCCCCTCAAACATCCGCCAGGCGCCATATTGTAATAGAGGTTTTAGGCAATGCCCAACAAGATACCATTTTACTGAGTAGTTCGTGTCCTGGCCTCTGTGGGTGGGGCCCTGATCAGTTCCCAGCCGGACCGCTGGGGCCTTGCCTGGGACGCACACACAGGCCCCAGCAGGAGCAGGGGTCTGAGGAACCCAAGAGGAGGGCCCTTTGGTTGGACACATGAAGCATATTGTTGGCTTAAACGGCAAAGGCTGAGGGGGTGTTCTAGATCTGAGCCCACCGAAGAGACGTCACAGACAAGCACACAAGTGCTCCCCAAAAGCATCCTGCCTTGGGGAACGTGACTCAGGCTGTTACTGGGACGGTGACAGAGCTGGGGTGGGCCTGGAGTTGCCATTGGAGTGTCCTGAGTGTGACGGCTGTGCTGGGTGGATGTCAGGAGGCACTCTTCCTCAGATGCACTAAAGTCTTACGGGAGTGACAGGGCCTGTTGCATGCAATCTCTTCTCAAATGGTGTAGAGAAGAATGTTCCTGAAGAAAGAGTGAACGAAAACCCGAACAGTCAGCCTGGATGAAGGTGTACAGGAATTACTTGTTCTCTTCTGTAAATCTGCAATTTCCTCAAAATAAGTTAAATGAAGAAAGTGAGGGGCTGGCGCCGCGGCTCACTATGCTAATCCTCCGCCTGCGGTGTCTGTACCCTGGGTTCTAGTCCCAGGTGTGGCGCCGGATTCTGTCCCGGTTGCTCCTCTTCCAGTCCAGCTCTCTGCTGTGGCCCAGGAAGGCAGTGGAGGATAGCCCAAGTGCTTGGGCCCTGCACCCCATGGGAGACCAGGAGGAAGCACCTGGCTCCTGGCTTCGGATCAGTGCAGCACCGGCTGTAGTGGCCATTTAGGGGGTGAACCAACGGAAGGAAGACCTTTCTCTCTGTCTCTCACTGTCTAACTCTGCATGTCAAAAAAAAACAAAAAAAGTGGGGGAAAAATACTCTTAGGATATGAAGGTAGTCATATACTTTCAGGACCTGAAGATGAGTTTTAAGGACCTGAAGATGAGTTTTAAAAACCTTTAAAACTGTCATTAATTTCTCAAAGTAATTACTATGTCAGTACTTGAAGCAAACAATAAAAAACCCTTTTTTCATCAATGTATTGGTAATAAAATTATACAGAAATGATATAAGGTAGGCTGACTATCAGGATATTCATTATCAGTGCGTAATAGGTACATTTAAAATTCTGAACTATTTAAAGTTGGTAGAATGTGTATTTTTTTCATGGTCTAATTATATCATATTTTGTTGACACCAGATGTTGTTGATTTAAGATGCACCATTGCCATTGAAGAAAAATGTAATTGTGAGGCAATGTCAGGTTTTTGATATTACAGATGTGAAAAAACATGTCTTAAATACATGAGACAATATACAGGAATATTTGATTAGGTAAAAAATTAAAAGCTGTGTCTTATTTTAATCGCTGCTGCTTTATGGTTTTAGCTAGAAAATGGAAGTCTGTGATCCACGGTTGCTGAAAATAGTGAGTTTCATGATTGACACTGGGAGCTGTTCCTATAACTGCATTCATATGGCTGCTGTATGTTAGGGGGTTGTTCCTCAGTGTGTTTGCACCCGAGGTGATCTTTTCACACGTATTTTCAGGGACTCTTAAATGCAGGAATCGTTTCTTCTGCCTCATCGCTCACTGAAATAATGGCTGTGACTCTCCACAGATGCCGCAGTTGGAGAAGAAACTTGGACTTGAACTTAAGGATGATGCAAGAGTCATTGCGTGCAGGTTCCCTTTTCCACACTGGAGCCCGGACCATGTCACTGGGGAGGGGACAGACACCGTGTGGGTGTACGACGTGGGCACTCTCAGAGGGAAGGGGAGGAGGCCCTGAGAGCTGGTGCGTTTCCGTGGTTGGTCGTGCGCAAAGAAACCTCACCGCGAGTGCCCTCTGCAGTCTTGCTCTGTCCGTTGCCCTTGTGGGGACTCTCAGCTATGCCTTTAGCGGCAGAGTGTATTGTTCTGGTATGGAATGAGAAATCGCTACCATTCTTCTTAATTCTGCAGGAAACAGACACCTTAAGGAAATACAGTTAAACTTAGAATCTGTTTTTAATGGTATATTCTTTTTAAAAATTTTTTAATGTTATATTCTTAAAAAAATATGTTGAATCTTGATGTGAATGGAAGGGGAGAGGGAGTGGGAAAGGGGAGGGTTGCGGGTGGGAGGGACGTTATGGGGGGGAAGCCATTGTAATCCATATTCTGTACTTTGGAAATTTATATTCATTAAATAAAAGTTAAAAAAAATAAATAAAATAAAAAAAAATGTTTCCTGCCTGTTCATGCGTTGGGTGCATGAAAATGTGAATTAGTGATGGTCTTGTTTATGGTTGGAAAGATGTCACAGTTCTTCACTTCCAAGCAATAGGGTTTCATGCCACAGATAAAGAAAAATGATTTTTAAATAGAGTTTGTATTGTGCTTTGAATATTAGTTGGTTCCTAAACATAGGTAGAACTTTAAATCCCAAAGAGTTAATGCACCGAGAGGCTGGAAACTTAATCTGATCATGGTGTTTAGGAACTGGGTCCTAGTGGGAGGGGCTGAGGTCCTTGGGGTACCGTGCCTTTGGAAGGGAGTTCTCGCAAGAGGGTTGTAGGGAAAGTCTCCAGCCTCCTTCTCAGCCTCCTGGTTCATGGCGTGAGCCTTCCTCCGTGCCCACTCTGCCAAAGCCTGCATCACGACAAGTTTGCTCTTGGCAGCTCCAAACCCAGAGCTCAAGGGACTTTTCTCCATACACGGTAGCCACCTCAGGTGTGTCATTATAGTAACGAAGAAAGGACGAGCAGAGTATGTGTTAGCAGGCGCTTACAGTTTCCTAAACTTTATTCATGCTTAAGATTCATCTGTGGGGTTTTTGTTGTGGTCAGGGCCTGCAACATCAGCATCCCATATCGGAGTGCCGATTTGAGTCCTAGCTGTTCAGTTTTGATCCAGCTCCCTGCTAATGTGCCTGGGAAAGCAGCGGAAGATGGTCCAAGAGTTTGGGCCCCTGCTGCCCACATCGGGGATACCCATGGAGTTCCTCACTCCTGGCTCTAGCCTAGCCCAGCACCTGCCATTGTGGCCATCTGGGGAGTGAGCCAGCAGATGGAAGATCTCTCTCTCTCTGTCACTCTGCCTTACAAATAAAGTAAATATTAAAAAAAAATGATTTACCTCCTTTTTTTTTTTCTGTACTTCATGGCAAAATTAACTTTCTAAAGGATCTGGAGAGGTGTCTGTAGATCTTATAATATTTTTTAGGAATGAGTTGTTCCAAGGCTGGTGAATTGCAGTTTTTGCTGAATTTAAGGTGTTTGTGTGTATGTATAAACACATATACACACTTTAACACTCCTGAAATTGTGACGTAGCTTCTGATGGAAGGTGTGTTGTAGCTTTCTTTGGCAGTGTTGTATGTCAGGATGGAGTTGTACTGTTGAAAGCATCTTAGATGTGATGAAATGCAGTATGCAGAGGAGATGCGTGATGTTCTGGAGCGGTTGGGGATGATTTAATAGTGAAGTAAGTGATCCTGAGCTTTGGCATAAAACCCTGTCTGGGTTCAATCCCTGCTTTGCCACCAGCAGTGACTTCCTGTCTAAGCCATGGCCAGTGTCCCTACTATTGGGATGATGATACACTGAGCAGGGGATAGGGAACCAATGTGTAAAACTCATGACACACAGCCATTGGTCTGTAAATGCTATTTCTTATTTTAGACACTAAGGAAAATCTTACTCATTGAAGATACAGATTATTTCAGCTACTCAGTTCTTTATTTTGTGAGAGCAGCCATTTATTTAATATTTCTCATTTGTGAAAAGAGAGTTGGCTGATCTAAATCAAAGACAAGATAAGGGGAACTTTTGGATGTGAGTGGGCAGGTTTCATATCTGAAAGTGAATGTTGAGCGATGGCATGAATGATCTGTGCTGATCCCAGAACAGGATTGAACTCCTGTTATACTCCAGTGACCCAGACACCCAACTCTCCTAACGGAGATCTGAAAAGTAAATTGGTTACATCTTCTAACTTAGAAAATATGATCAATTTGACAATTTCCATTTAAGTAAGAACCATCTGGGTTCACATGCTCATTCAGCAAATGACGAACTGAATTTCCACGGTATAATTTTTGGTTCCAGGGCAAATAGATGTGCAACACTCTCCGCCTCACGAATGCTGTGTGTGAAGTTCTCTGAAAGCAAGGCAGTGCTGCTACACAGGCTGAGTGTGTGTTTGAGATGCGGGGCCGGGTGGTTGCGGGCATTGTCTGGCTTTGATCCATACCATCTGTCCCTGTCGCGGTAACCTTCGGTTTCCTCCTGCAGAGTGCATTCTCTTCCAGGGTGTGTAGCCGTGGTGGAAGGGGTGTTTTCGGTGTCTGCTTCTCACAACCTTCTCCTCTTCTGCTTGGGACACAAGGATAGGACCTAGTGGAGCTCATGGCTGTGCAGATGCGGGAGAGGCAGGGCTTTGTGGAACCTTGGAGATACTTGACAGTTTTCTGCAAGTACTTCTGGTGCATTTGTGGGGGCCTCAAGCCACCTCATGGTTGTGACTTGCCATTCTTGGAGTATCTCCTTTAGCTTTTCCTGAGTTAGCGGAGGCTTGGTATTGCAACGACAGAGTAAGATGGGCTGTTTCCTAGAAGTGTTGTGATTCATGAAGTCTACAAGATCTTAATCGCTTTTTAAATTTGTTTCCCATAGAATAAACGATGATGACTTTCCTTGTGGAAATGTGGCTTCTCTGGCTGACTGGTTTGACTTTTTATCAGTTACTGGGTTAAGGACATCAATCGCATTTGCTCACTCACAAGGCAGAGAATGAGAGCTACTTTGTGGGGTGCCAAAAATAGGATTCAGGGGCCTGCGTCGTGGCTCACTTGGTTAATCCTCCGCCTGTGGTGCCCCCATCCCATATGGGCACCAGGTTTAGTCCCAGTTGCTCCTCTTCCAGTCCAGCTCTCTGTGGTGGCAAAGGAGGGCAGTGGAGGATGGCCCAAGTGCTTGGGCCCCTGCACCCTCATGGGAGACCAGGAGGAAGCACCTGGCTCCTGGCTGTGCCAATCCGAAGCCAGGAGCCAGGGTTCTCTTCCAGGTCTCCCACGTGGGCGCAGGAGCCCAAGGACTTGGGCCATCTTCCACTGCTTTCCCAGGCCATAGCAGAGAGCTGGATTAAATGTGAAGTAGCAGGGACTCGAACCAGCACTACAGGGATGCCAATACTACAGGCGGCAGTTTTACCCGCTGCGCCACAGCGCCAACCCCGTAACCTAGCAGGTTTAAAACACACGGGACTTCTTATCCTCAGACAGTATAGGCCATATATATGTATATATATAAATAGAAAATATTTACTATTTAATGTAAATATTAAATATATAAAATAAATTATTCAATATATATTTAACTAGAAAAATGGATATTTATATAGATGTAGGGCTATTCGCATCTAAATATTACAGTAATGTTTCTGTGCTCAAATGTAAAACTCGAGTTATCTGGAAATCCTACTAGGCAGGCACCTTGTTCCCACAGACTGAGGTGTTCCTGTATCACGACACATTATGATTAGATTGTGATTGGCACACTGGTGACCCAGTGGACTGACACAAATTGAACACAAGCAAAGAGGTCATATAGCTTTTATAGGGGAGTTGAATTATGCCTTATTTTTCTAATTTAATATTATGATGTGAACATTATCCAGGAAGGATTGATAAAACAGTGGCTCGCTGATCGCCAGGTTTCATTCAGAGATGTAAAGGAGGAATCAAGGTAATTTTCCTCTCTGTCATATTGTTGGGTGAGAACTTGGGCAACAAAATTGTGATTTAATCCAGATACCAGATTGATTTCACAAAACCCATGGATATCCCCACTTGGCTACCTTCATCCTGGGATTTGCTGTAACTACAGGTTTGTGGGTGTGTTTTGTGTGCAACGTGGCAGTCAAAGGTGAGACAGCGTGGTGTACGTGTGAGACTGGGTTCTAGGATGCACAGCCGGCACTCAGCACAATCGTAAAGCTTTCTCCGGGCTGGGGCTCCTCCCTTCCCCCTGCGACTCATGCTGGGCACGTGCCCTTGTTCGTTCTGTCTCATGGCCTTTTCTTCACATGCCCCCTAATCTATGTCAGAATGTGTATTGAGACTTTCAGAGAGGTTTGTGTGTTGTTAAGGAACACTCTAATGTAAGTTTGACTTGATCAAGACTGAAAGAGGTGAATTTGTAGTGGAAAATCTCAAGTTTCTTTCTTCTACCCTTTCCCTTTCCTACCCAGCTGTCCTATCTGGGACAGCTCAGAGGCAAACCATGGTTGTCGTTAAGTTTCTCTCAACCTGAAAGTGTTAGTGAGTGGAAATTCCTAGTCCCAAAGCTGTAACAAGAAGGACAGTTCTCCTGTACTGACTGTGTGCCCCATGCTGAAGGTCTTCTGCAAACATTACTTCCAGTTCTCATGCTAACTCTGACGTGTGGATAATGTATTTCTCTGTTGGGTAAACTGAGGCACTTAGAATTCGCTTGCCTAGGCTCATGCATTGTTAGTAACTAGTGGTATCCGGACATGGCCTGCCTGACCCTGAAGCCTACATGTTCCATTCCACCACCTGGCAGGGAATGGAGCAGGCCTGTCTGCTTAGCTTGCTCAGGTATTAGCAACGTTTGAACCACTCGGAAGCCTGAGTTCCATGCCTCTCTGAATCATGATAATAAATCTTTTCCCATAGGCCCAGCATGGTCCTTGAGTTAGAAACTTAAGCTGAGAGAAGGGAAAAGCTCCAGTTATTTATTTAGAAAGTCAGTTACAGAGAGAAAGATGTTCCATTGGCTGGTCCACTCCTCAGATGGCTGCAACAGCCAGGGCTGGGCTAGGCCAGCTTCAGGAGCCGGGAGCCTTCATCCAGGTCTCCCACGTGGATGAAGCGGCCCAAGCACTTGGGCCACATTCTGCTGCTTTTCTCAGGCTGTTAGCAGGGAACTGGGTCAAAAGCAGAGCAGCTGGGACATGAACTGGTGCCCTTGGGGGATGCATGGCATCTCGGGTGGCAGCTTAACGTGCTATGCCGTAGCACTGGCCCAAAGCTGCAGATTTTTCCAGAACTCTCCCACATAGAAATGGGGAGATGTGGGAATGGGGAGATGAAGCAGCGTCTTCCAAGCAGAAGAAAATAACCGCCTGCCCTGTAGGCCGCTTTCATGGTAGGTGGGTCAGTGCCCACGTGCCACCTGTGGCACAGGTAGGTGGCTGTTGGAAGTACACATGTCTGTCTGTGTGCCTGGGCTGTCCAACAAGATGCTACAGACTGGCGGCCTGAACGGCAGAAATCCATCTCAGAGCTCCAGAGGCTGCAAGTCCCACACCAGGGTGTCTGCGGGGTCGCCCTACCATCCTGCCTGTTTTCAGCTGTACATGATCATGTATGTGACTGAAAGCTCTTCTGAACAGGGATAACTCATCATAGATAATAAATAAATTCTACAAATATCTCCTGAGTAACTATCACACATCCGGTATGGTCGGGAGTAACAGGGTGAGCCAGTGACCCGAGGCCCGGCTTCAGGAAACGTGTGGTCCATCCCTCCTACTGCAGAGTTGGGTCTGTCACACTCAGGGTTGAGATGCATGCAGCCTGCTGGGTCCCACATGGGATCTCCCACTTGGAAGGCAGTGAAGCCCGACCTTCCACTTGGCTTTGTTCAGGGCTGGGAAGGTATGTTTCTTTAACCAAAGCAGAAACCTAGATAACAGGTTGACCTATCTATACTGTTCTCTAGGCTACAGGTCACTGTCCCCTTACTACACACACACACATCCCCACCATCTGATTTTGGAGCTGTGTGTTAGGTATGTAACGTTCATGCCACAGAAAGAAAAAGCAGACTGCTAGGTACTCGATCCACCTTTCATATTTGTGAATCGGAAAGTGACATGGGAGGAGGAAAGTTTATGTAATATTAAAAATGTAGGGAATAACTCAGGACAGAGGCTGCACTTTAGAGTTTTTGACGGGTTCTTCTTGCTGTAGACTCCATGAGTCTGATGACCAAGGACAGGAGTCACCCATGGGGCATAGCATATGTGTACCATCTGGGAACTCCCCCTCTCGCAGATGTGTGCAGATTATTGTTTCATATCTGGGGCACACCCCCTTCAATCACCATGCATACACGAGGATGGGCTGGGTGTAGAAGATGTTTAGTCCCCATTTATAACACGATGTCCCACGCTCTGATGCAAATTTTGATTCAATAAGGGCTTTTATTTTTCAAAGGAACCCACCAAGGGAAGCAGTCCCAAGGAATCAGTAGAAGTTAGTTCTACAGGGCCAAGTAAGATCCTTGAAGTAGCACAATGGGATTATATGTAAGTGTAAATCTAGTTGTATAGGGGCGGGGATTTGACAAGAGTGATGAGTTGTAATTGTCCAGAGAGCTCCTAGAGAGGAGCAGCATTGGGATGGAACGCATTCTATGCGAGGGCAGTCGAGATTCTTGTAACATCTCCAGAGTGGACGCAGGATCAAACTGATAGCAGTCAGTGAGTCTCAGATGCAAACAAATCAGTGTTTAAAGCAACAGTCATGGGAGATTATAGAATTCCATGGTGTTCCTACTAGGTGCGCCTGATGTCTAGGTCCCTGTGTCAAGTGGGGTACCTTTGGCATAGGCCCCCCCCCATTCTGATTTTGTAGGAAGCACTGTGAAAGGATTGCAATCTGGGAATCAAAGGCCACGGCAGGTCCCAATCCACCCATAGCGGATGGGCAGAATGGTATTAGGATTGAGAGATGTGCATGTGGTGCTCAGCCGTGCCCCTGTCTTCCTGCCACAGAGAGGACACAGGGTGAAGCCCAGTGGCTTTGGGAGGCAAAGAGTCTGAGTGAGCAGTTGACAGCGGCCTACACTGATGCCACTTTCCGCCGCATGACTCTGCTCAAGGTCTCCTCCAGTCTAGCCACGGACCCCTTGCTGGGCTGTGACCTGTCCATTGTCACAAAGCATGTCAGCAGCCCCACGCAAGAGCCTGTGGCGTTGCATGAAGCCTTGGCCACCTTGAACTCTGTCATGTGCGTGGAGGGCGAAGCTGGCAGTGGGAAGACGGTGCTGCTAAAGAAGATAGCTTTTCTATGGGCATCAGGATGCTGTCCCTTGTTAAACCGCTTCCAGCTGGTCTTCTACCTGTCCCTTGGTTCGACCAGACCAGACCAGGGACTTGCCAGCATCATTTGCGGCCAACTCCTAGGGACAGAGGGATCTGTTACCAAAATGTGCCTGCGAACCATCATCCAGCAGTTGAAGAATCAAGTCTTATTCCTTTTGGATGATTACAAGGAGATGTGTTTGCTCCCCCAAGTCATAGAGAAACTGATTCAAAAGAACCACTTGTCACAGACTGGCTTACTGATCGCCGTCTGCACAAACAGGGCCAGGGCCCTTCGCCACTACCTGGACAGGACTCTGGAGATCACGGTGTTCCCTTCCTACAACACCATCTACGTACTACGGACGTTCTTTTTGCATAACAGAAGCCATCTGCAGAGGTTTATGGTTCACTTCAGAATGAATGAGGATTTGCAGAGAATTCAGAAAACTCCCCTCTTTGTGGCTGCGGTCTGTGCCGACTGGTTTCGGCGTCCGTTCCACCAGTCCTTTGACGATGATGCGGTGTTCAAGTGCTACAAGGAATGCCTTGCTTTGAAGCACAGCGCCTCCGCTGAACTTCTGAAAGCCACTGTGTCCTCCTGCGGCGAGCTGGCTTTGAAAGGGTTTTTCGCATCTTGCTATGAGTTTGATGGCAGTGAGCTCACAGAAGCAGGGGTTGATGAAGATGACGACCTGACCATGAGTCTGATGAGCAGATTCTCAGCCCAGAGACTGAGACCAGTCTACCGGTTTTTAAATCCTGCATTTCAGGAATTTCTTGCTGGGACGAGGTTGATTGAACTCCTGGATTTGGACAGCAGGAGGACCAAGATTTGGGACTTTTTTATTTGAGACACATTGACTCATCCATCATGGCTGTAAGTCCCTATGGCAATTTCTTAAACTACATCTCTAATCGCACTTCAACAAAGGTGGGACCGAAAATTCTATCTCACTTGCTCCAGTTGATGAGTAATGAAGCATCATTGGAGATTATATCTGAAAATAATGACTATGCGAAGCAGCATCCGAGGATGTCAGAGAAGATGCAAATATTTAGGAGCCTGAGGCAAGTATCTCCGCAAGCTTACTTTTCACTGGTTTCGGAACACTTCCTGACTCTCGCCTTAAAAATCACTTATCAAAGCGACACTGTGGTCGCGTGTTCTCCATTCATTCTGAAATTCCTTCAAGGGAGGACCCTGACCTGGAAGGTACCGCAGTTACAGTACTTTTTCGACCACCCAGAAAGCCTGTTGCTATTGAGGAGTATCTAGGTCTTGATACAAGGAGTGAAAGGGGAGCCTAGGCCAGATTTTTCAGTCATGGCAGCATGCTTGGACAAATCGCAGGCACCGACCATAGATCAGGACTACACCTCGGTCTTTGAACCCATGAAGGAATGGGAGCAGGAGCTGGCTGAAAAAGAGGAGAGCTTGAAGAACTTCCTGAAGTCCAGCGCCAGGCACCACCGGACGTCGGAGCCGGCTACTGGAAACTCTCCAAAGCAGCCCAAGATTCCTCTCCTGCAAGTCCACGTGACCAGGGCCAATGCCGTGGACCAGGACACGCTCAGGGCTCTAACGGCAGCTTTGTCAGCTTCGCAGCACATCAAACTCCATTTAAGCCACAGCAGGGGCTTTATTGAAAGCATCCATCCAGCTCTGGAGCCGTGTAAGGCCTCCGTCACCAAGTGCTCCATAGGCAATGCTGAGCTCCGCACAGCGGAGCAGGAACTGCTTCTCACCCTGCCTTCCCTGGCATCGCTTCACGTTACAAGGTAACTACGTTTTGCGGGACCATTCTCATGTGTGATTCTGTTTCCCCACTGTTAGTTTTAGGTGGATGAAAACGTCTGTAGGCACAAGAACATAGATGCTCCTTTAAAATAAAAAGATTTATGTATTTGAAAGGTAGAGTTAGAGAGAGAAGGAGAGACAGAGCGAGAGAGAGAATCTTCCATCTGCTGATTCACTCCCCAAATGGCTGCAATGACCAGGGCTGTGTTAGGCTGAAGCCAGGAGCCAGGACCTTTTTTTTGGGTCCCACGTGTACACAAGGGCCCAAGTACTTGGGCCATCTTCCACTGCTCTCCCAGGCACATTAGCTCAGAAGTGGAGCAGCTGAGACTCCAACTGGAGCTACAGGCTTCATCCGCTGAACCACAGTGCCGGCCCCATAAATGCTCCTTGATAGACTAGATATAAGGGGCCAGCACTGTGGCGTAGTGAGTAAAGCTGCTCCTGTGGTGCCGGCATCCCATATGGGCGCCGGCTCAAGTCTTGGTTGCTCTACTTCCAATCCAGTTCCCTGCTAATGCACCTGGGAAAGCGACGGAAGATGGAGTGAACCAGCAGATAGAAGACTTCTCTCTCTGCCTCTTCCTCTCTCTGTAACTATGCCTCAAAACTAAATAATCTTTTTTTAAAAAAAGACAAGATACAAAACAAACATTCACTAATTTTTTTGTCAGTAGTATGAATTAGTGAATAACAGAATGGTTTTCAAGTAATTCAGATAAAGTATTAATATTTAATTTTATGTTCTCAGTAATCAGACATGAATTACTTGTTATTTGTGAATGGATGATCCCTAAGCGTAAGATGCTGCTTGGGTGCCAGTGTTGTGGTGCAGCAGGTTAAGCCGATGCATATGACGCTGCCACCCCATATCAGAGTGCTAGCTGGAGTCCTGGCTGCTCTGCTTCCAATCCAGCTTCCTGCTGATACACCTGGGAGAACAATGGATGATGGCTCAAGACTTGGGTCCCTGCCACCCGTATGGGAAACCCAGAAGGAGTTCTGGGTTCTTGGCTTCAGCCTGGTCCAGACCTGGTTGTTGTAGCCATTTGGAGAGTAAACCAGCAGATGGAAGATCTCTCCATCTCTCTCTCTCCCTCTCTCCCTCTGTCTGTCTATCTCTCTCTCCTCCGCCTCTCTCTGTCACTCTGCCTTTCAAATATGATACAAGGGGCTGGCGCTATGGCGTAGCAGGTAAAGCTGCTGCCTGCAGTGCCAGCATCCCATATGAGTGCCAGTTCGAGTCCTGACTGCTCCACTTTCGATCCAGCTCTCTGCTATGGCCTGGGAAAGCAGTAACTCTGTAACTATGTCTTTCCAATAAATAATCTTTTTTTAAGATTTTATTATTTATTTATTTTAGAGGTAGAGTTATAGACAGTGAGAGAGAAAGACCGAGAGAGAAAAGTCTTCCGTTGGTTCACTCCCCATATGGCCACAATGGCTGGAGCTGTGCCAATCCAAAGCCAGGAGCCATGTGGGTGCAGGGGCCCAAGCACCTGGACCATCCTCCACTGCCTTCCCAGCCACAGCTGAGAGCTGGATCGGAAGAGGAGCAACTGGGACTAGAACTGGTGCCCATATGGGATGCCGGGGCCGCAGGCAGAGGATTAACCTACTGCGCCACAGCGCCGGCCCCCAAGTAAATAATCTTTAAAAAAAAAAAAATACAGTACATAAATCCTATCTATCTAACTATCTATCAAAAGCTGAGGCTTGAAAATTACCCTCACCCTAACTACCTGTTGGGACAAAGGACTTGGCCTCTCTAGGAAATAGATAAAGAGCAAATAGTATATCATATTTATTTGTCTTTTCTTTAGCCTATATAAACAATATTTGATAGTTTTCAATGAGGACTTTACAGTCCTCCATTAAATTTATTCCTAGGTAGGTAACATTTTTTGAATAGCAGTATGAATGACAAAAGCCAGTTTTTATATTCTGTGTGTTGTTCGCATAGCTTTGGCTTTCCTCAGTTTCCCTGTAACATGCCAAGTTGTATCTCGTTTGTACATGAACCTTTTGGATCTGTGGGTTGATATTTATCATCAAATTTTGAAAAATTGCTATCTTTTTCTTAATAAAATTTGCTAAATAAAATTTACTTTTTAATTATGGTAATATGTATGCAACACACCCCCTTTTTAACCAGCTTAAAGTCTACGGTTCAGAGCACTAAGTGTGTTCACATTGTTGTACTGCCATCACCGCCATCCAGCCACAGAGTTTTTTTTCATCTTGCAGCATTGAACTACTTTACCCATTAGGCAGTGACTCCTCCCTCCCACCAGCCCAGTCTGGTAACATCAATTCCACTTTTCGTCTCTTTGAATGTGCCCTTTTTTTTTTTTTTTTTAAAGATTTATTTATTTATTTGGAAGGCAGAGTTACTGAGAAAAAGAGAGAATCTTCCATCTGCTGGCTCACTCCTCACATGGCCACAAAGGCTGGAGCTGGACCAATCTGAAGCCAGGAATTAGGAGTATCTTCCGGGTCTCCCAAGCGAGTACAGGGGCACAGGTACTGGGGCCGTATTCTGCTGCTTTCCCAAGTGCATTAATAGCTGGATCAGAATAAAAAAGTGGAACAGCTGGGACTCGAACTGGCATTCATATGGGATGCTGGCACTGCAAGTGGAGGCTCACCCTACTATGCCACAGCGCCAGCCCCAAGATATTTTATATACATAGAGTCGTGGAATATTTGTTCTTTTGTGTCTAGCATATGTCACTTAGTATAGAATTTTCAAGATACACTATCTTTGTAGGATGTACCAGAACTTCATTCCTTTTTACAGATGAATAAGAAGGCATTGTATAGATCCATCACTTTTTGTTTGTTTTATTCTTTTGTTGATGGACAGATTATTTTCATCTTCTGGCTACTGTGAATAATGCTGCAATGAACATTGAGATTACAACATCTGAGTCCCAGTTTACAATTATTTTTGAGTCTACACCTAGTAGAGGAATTTCTGGTTCATATGGTGATTCTATGTTTAACTTAAAAGTGTTTTAGAAGTTTATTTGAGGGCCGGCGCTGAAGCTCAATAGGGTAATCCTCCACCTGTGGCACCAGCACACTGGGTTCTAGTCCTGGTTGGGGTGCTGGATTCTGTCCCGGTTGCTTCTCTTCCAGTCCAGCTCTCTGCGGTGGCCCGGGAAGGCTGTGGAGGATGGCCCAGGTCCTTGGGCCCTGAACCTGCATGGGAGACCATGAGGAAGCACCTGGCTCCCTGCTTTGGATCGGTGCAGCGCACCGGTTGTAGTGGCCATTTGGGGGGTGAACCAACGGAAAAGGAAGACCTTTCTCTCTGTCTCTCTCTCTCACTGTCCACTCTGCCTGTCCAAAAAAAAAAAAAAAAAAAAAAGAAGAAGAAGAAGAAGAAAGAAGAAGAAAGAAGAAGAAGAAGAAGAAGTTTATTTGAGAAGTAGAGAGAGAGACAGACACAGAAAGCGCCCATATGCTGGTTCACTCCCCAGATGCCTGCTATGGCTGGAGGCCTGAAGCCAAGAGCTGGAAACTCAATCCAGGTTTTCATGTGAGTGGCAGAGACTCAGCGACTCAAGCTGTCACTTCTGCCTCCTAGAGTCTGCATTAGCAGGAAGCGGAATCAGGAGCCGGAGCCAGGATTGAACCCAGACACTGGGCTACGGCGTGGAGCTGTTCTAACTGGCGTCTTGCCTTTTCTGCTGGGCCAATCAGCTGCCTCTGTGTTTAACCGTACTGATTAAACTCATGGTGCCATTTTACATTCCCACAGCATTCTACGAGAGCCCCAGTCTCTCCACGTTCTTCTCAACACATGCTGTTTTTTATTTAGATTATCATAAAGACATTTTATGAGGGGGCACGAAGTGGTTGCTCCTTCTGGTTTTGATTCATGTTTCTCTGGTTGCTAATGGCATCGAGCATCTGCCCTTTGCTGTGCTCATAGTGGATATTGACTGAACTTTTTTTGGAGGAATGGTGATTCAAGTCCTCTGTCCATTTTTAAGTTGTGTTTTTGTTGTCACTAAGTCGTAGGAGTTCTTTGTGTAGTCTGCATACTAAGCTCTTTTCAGATAACACAGTTTGAAAATATCTCTCACTCTGTAGATTGTCATTCCACCTTATTTATTTATTTATTTTTTGACAGGCAGAGTGGACAGTGAGAGAGAGAGACAGAGAGAAAGGTCTTCCTTTTCCATTGGTTCACCCTCCAATGGCCACTGTGGCCAGTGTGCTGCGGCCGGCACACAGCGCTGATCTGAAGCCAGGAGCCAGGTGCTTCCTCCTGGTCTCCCATGGGGTGCAGGGCCCAAGCACTTGGGCCATCCTCCAGTGCACTCCCGGGCCACAGCAGAGAGCTGGCCTGGAAGAGGAGCAACCGGGACAGAATCCGGTGCCCCGACCAACCGGGACTAGAACCCGGGGTGCCAGCGCCGTAGGCAGAGGATTAGCCGCGGCACTGCAGGTGGAGGATTGAGCCACGGCACCGGCCTCCACCTTATTTTTTAATGTCCTTCCATGCACAAACATTTTGAAACTTTGGTGAAGTCCAGTGTCTCTATTTTCATTTTGTTGTCAGTGCTTATGGTGTCATAGTTAGGAATCTACCACCCAATCCAAGGTCGTGATATTTTCTTCTAGAGTTGTATGGTTCTAGCGCTTGTATTTAGGTTGTCGAGCTCTTTTGAGTTAAGCTTTTCTGTGTGGTGGGAGGCAGAAGTCGAATTTCATTCTCTTGCCTGTATTCCCATGCCACTTGCTGAAGACATGTGGGAACCAAACAGCACCAGAGTCCAGAGAGTAGGCCAGGGCCACTCATCCAGGACTCACTCAGCATCCTGTCAGTAAGTGCTGCACAAAGCAGTATCGTCAATGTTTTGGGTTTGTTTGTTTGTTTTTTGACAGGCAGAGTTAGACAGTGAGAGAGAGAGAGAGAGAGAAAGGTCTTCCTTCCGTTGGTTCACCCCCCAAATGACTGCTATGGCCGGCACTGTGCCGATCCGGAAGCCAGGAGCCAGGTGCTTCCTCCTGGTCTCCCATGTGGGTACAGGGCCCAAGGACTTGGACCATCCTCCACTGCCCTCCCAGGCCACAGCAGAGAGCTGGACTGGAAGAGGGGCAACCAGGACAGAATCCGGCGCCCCGACCGGGACTAGAACCCGGTGTGCCGGCGCCGCAAGGTGGAGGATTAGCCTAGTGAGCTGCAGTGCTGGCCCTTCAACATTCTTACCATCAGTCCTTTCAAAAGCAGAATGCCATATAGTATGTAAAGGGTTTTCACTTGAAAAAGCAAAAATAATGAAAATGACAGTTCCACAACTTCCTCCTGCAACTGTTTAGATTAATCATGGGAAACTGTGTGCTGCTTTCCAGACCAAGTCTTTCCTAATTTGGACAAATTTCTGCCCTGAAAGAACTATCTGTGAATCTACAGGGCAACCTAAATGTTTTCTCAGTCCTCCCTGAAGACTCTGCAAGCTTCCACCAGATGGAGAAATCACTGGTCCGCGTGTCGGCTGAGTGTGATCCTTCCAAACTAGGTGAGGGCGGCACTTGGATGCACTTCTTTTCGCATCAGTTGAAAAAGCTACTTGGCCAGTAACTTCCCAGTGAAAGCTTCTGGGCACTAAGAGAGGGTGGGGCCTGTGTATCCATGGTAACTTGTGGGCACAGCACTTTCTTACAAAGAGGGCGGAGAGTTCTTCCCGATTGTGGAACCTCTGTTCGATGTTACTTGTTTTAAGCACCTCCCAACAATCAACTTATTTAGTCTTAATATCCACTCTGTCAGGTAAAGGTGCTATTAGACTGCCATTTTACAGCTGGGGAAATTGGAGCAAAGAGAGACGGAGTATTGTGCTCAAGAAATGTAGATTGAGGGGCTGGCGCTGTGGCTCAGTGGGTTAACGCCCTAGCCTGAAGCACCGGCATCCTATATGGGCGCCGGTTTGAGTCCCGGCTGCTCCACTTCCTATCCAGCTCTCTGCCATGGCCTGGGAAAGCAGTAGAAGATGGCCCAAGTGCTTGGGCCCCTGCACCGCGTGGGAGACCCAGAAGAAGCTCCTGGCTCCTGATTTTGGATTGGTGCAGCTCTGGCTGTTGCGGCCAATTGGGGAGTGAACAATCTGATGGAAGACCCCCCCACTCCCGTGTAACTTTGACTTTCAAATAAATAAAAATAAATCTTAAAAAAAAAAAAAGAAATGTAGATTGAAATACTGGAATTTTGACTCCAAAGTCTGAACACTTAACTGCCTGTCCAAAATAGCTTCTAGAGTTCTTTCTTTTTGTATCAGTTACTCAGGGGGAAGGAAACAGGCTGGGTGGGAGGATGAGAAGCATTCCCCTGATCCTTACCAACCCGCCCTCCTGGTCCATAGACAACCTGTGAATTGTTCTGAAATTCATCATCTAGCACGATGACTTCGGTGCTGTCAACTCCTTAATTTAGTCACAGTGAACACTGAAAGCTGAAGAAATGTAGAGCTCTATGGAAGGGACGTGCACAGTTGCATGCAACATTTTCGCTGGTGCTGAAGCTGGAAGTGGTACTTTTCTTACACACGGCAGAAATTTTTGCAGCACATTTAGGCTGCGTTTCAAAGCTGTCATTCCTTGGGTGGTGCTCTGTGCAGTACGCACACTGTGTAACGGCAGTGCACAGCCTAAGAGGCGTTGGGATGTTAAAGCTAAAGGTGATCTTCCTAAGTCAGAGCCCTTATTTTATTGAAAAGAAAACTGGTCCCCAGGGAGGGTCAGTGACTTGACCAAGTTCACACTTGAGAGTTGCAGAACCTACAGTGAAGGCCAAAGCGGCCCGATTTTTAAATTATTACATCGTGGTGCCTTGTTTTAATTAAGTAATGTTGCAAGAAAACAATAAATTATAAACAAACAAATTCTGAGGGCATTTGTCATCTCTAATTTCTTGAATTGAAAATATGATAATGTAAAATATCTTGATATTTTATAGTCAAAATGATTCAGAATTCTCCAAACCTTCATGTTTTCCACCTGAAATGTGACTTCTTTTCAGATTTTGAGTCTCTTAAGACTGCACTTGCTTCCTGCAAGAAACTGAAAGAAATTGTGTTTTCTGGACCATTTTTTGAAGCCATCCCCTTTGATAAGTATTATCATCTTAAAATTTTGGTTTAAGGTGTTTTTGTGGACAAAGGCATATCAATACTCTCTTAAATATAAGGCAATTTTTAAAATATTTATTTATTTGAAAGGCAGAGTTACAGAGAGAGAGAGATCTTTCACTCACTGGTTCACTCTCCAAATGGCCACAAAAGCTGGACCAGGCAGAAGCCAGGAGCCAGGAGCTTGGAGCCTCCTCTGGGTCTCCTATGTGGGTGGCAGGGGCCCAAGCACTTGGACCATCTTCTGCTTTCTCAGGAGCATTAGCAGAGAGCTGGATCACTAGTGGAGCAGCCAGGACTTGAACCAGTGCCCAAATGGGATGCTGGCACTGCAATCAGCGCCTTTACCCACGGTGCTACCGCGCCAGCCCCATCAGGCAAATTTTTAAAAAATATATTGATGTGAGGGACTGGCACTGTGGCATAGTGGGTAAAGCCACCACCTGCGGTGCCGGCATCCCATATAGGGGCCAGTTGGAGACCCGGCTGCTATGGCCTGGAAAAGCTGTAGAAGATGGCCCAAGTGCTTGGGCCCCTGAACCCACGTTGGAGACCTGGAAGAAGCTCCCAGCTCCTGGCTTCAGATTGACACAGCTTTGGCCATTGTGGCCATTTGGAGAGTGAACCAGCAGATGGAAGACGCCTCTCTCTGTGCCTCTGCCTCTCTGTAACTCTGCCTTTCAAATAAATAAATAAATGTTTTTTTAAAAAGTTTAAAAAAATATATTGATGTGAAAGAGCAAAACTGATACCCACTCTTAAATAAATTTCACCAATAAGAAGACATTTCTCTCTAGAATTTAAAACATTTCTAGTTACCAATATTATTTCCTGAGCAAAAATTTGTTTTCTCTGCTTAGTCATACTAATTAAATCTGAATTATATGAATTTTGATTATTTTTTAAATACTCTCATTGTGAAGATGTTATGCAGTTATGAGAAGTAGCTGACATCACTGAATTATTATTTTTCCTCTCCTAGTCACCATTTTGCCAAATTTTATTTCTCTGAAGATATTGAATCTTGAATTCCAACAATTTCCTGATCAGGAAACATCTGAAAAATTTGGTATGTTTATGAAACAGTGCTTTTTCACTTAGGACTCCTACCCTCCAAATGCCTCAAATGCCTTCACTATTTTTTTTTTAAGATTTTATTTATTTATTTGAGAGGTAGAGTTACAGACAGTGAGAGGGAGAGAGAGAGAAAGGTCTTCCATCTGCTGGTTCACTTCCCAAATGGCTACAATGGCTGGAGCTGTGCCGATCTGAAACCAGGAACCAGGAGCTTCTTCTGAGTCTCCCATGCGGGTGTAGGGGTCTCAGTACCTGGGCCATCTTCTACGCTTTCCCAGGCCATAGCAGAGAGCTGGATCAGAAGAGGAGCAGCTGGGACTAGAACCAGCGCCCATATAGGATGCTGGTGCTTCAGGCCAGTGCCTTAACCCACTGTGCCACAGCGCCGGCCCCTTCACTATTGTTTTTATAGCATTTCTCACACTTTACCTCATTCAAAGCAACATTGCCAGAGTTGAGGCAGGATGCACAGGGAGCTGGTCTAGAGTGGCAACACTAATGATGTTGCTAACATTAGTGATGTCACCTCTCCCTCTCGACAAGACACAGCCACGAGCCACTGGATCCCGGTCACCTCTTTCCTGAGTGAGCAGCCCTCTTAACCACTGACCAATCTGTGCTTCATTATAATAGTAAAAACACAGCCCCTGGGAGGAGACTGAAGATGCTAATGAGCAGACATTGTATGGTAGAACATGATATCCCCACTGGGCTTGGGCAGAGACCCACCTGGACATGGTAAAGAGTGCATCCAAGCTGAAAACAAAACAAAACAAAACAAAAAAAAACAAAAACAAAAACAAAAACAAAAACAAAAACAAAAACAAAAAAACAAAGAATCTACTGCAGCCCGCAGGGTGCAGCTCATCCTCCAGTGGGAGCACACTTATACTCAGCCCCCAGTGTGTCCTTTCGCTGGCAGTCAACCCTGTCTTCTGGACAAGAACTTGAAACACTGGCAGCACACGGAAGCCCATTCTGGGTCAGATGGTATGGTCTGAGCACTTGCAGCAAGAGCAACAGCCCTGTTCGGATTGACAGATCTCATGGAGCTGCTTATGACTGACCCATCTTGCTTGCAGAGACTCAATGGAGCAAAAGGCCTAGATCTTGATTTCTCCATACTGTCCTCTCTTCAGGGAGCCAGAGCCCAAGGAGAAATGGCTGATTCAAGAACCCTCACCCTAACCCTCTCCCTCGCCCTAATCCGAACCCTAAACCTAGTCCTAGCCCTAACCCTAACCCTAACCCTAGCCCTAGCCCTAAAACTAACCCTAGCCCTAGACCTAGCCCTAGCACTAACGCTAATGCTAACCCTAAACCTAGCCCTAACCCTAACCCTAAACGTAGCCCTCGCCCTAAACCTAAACCTAACCCTGCCCTAACCCTAGCACTAACCCTAACCCTAACCCTAGCCCTAGCACTAACCCTAACCCTAGCCCTAACCCTACCCCTACCCCTACCCCTACCCCGAACCCTAGCCCTAGCCCTAGTCCTAGCTCTAGCCCTAACCCTAACACTAACACTAACAATAACCCTAGCCCTAGCCCTAACAATAATGCTAGCCCTAGCCCTAACCCTACCCTAACCCTAGCCCTGAACCTAACCCTAACCGTAACCCTAACCCTAGCCATAGCCCTAACCCTAACCCTTACCCTAGCCCTAACCCTAACCCTAGCCCTAAACCTAACCCTAACCCTAGCCTTAGCCCTAGCCCTAAACCTAAAACTAACCACAACCCTAACCCTAACCCCAACCTTAACCCAACTTAGCACTAACCCTAACCCTAACCCTAGCCCTAGCCCTAGCCGTAGCACTAACCCTAGCCCTAGCCCTAGCCCTAGCCCTAAAACTAACCCTAACCCTAGCCCTAGACCTAGCCCTAGCACTAACGCTAATGCTAACCCTAACCCTAGCCCTAACCCTAACCCTAACCGTAGCCTTAGCCCTAGCCCTAAACCTAAAACTAACCACAACCCTAACCCTAACCCCAACCTTAACCCAACTTAGCACTAACCCTAACCCTAACCCTAGCCCTAGCCGTAGCACTAACCCTAGCCCTAGCCCTAGCCCTAGCCCTAACCCTAACCCTAACCCTAATACTAACCCTAACCCTAACCATAGCCCAAAACCTAACGCTAACCCTAGCCCTAACCCTAACCCTAGCCGTAGCCCTACCCTAACCTTAACCATAACCCTAACCCTAAACCTAACCCTAGCATTAGCCCTAGCCCTAACCCTAACCCTAGCTCTAGCCCAAACCCTAACCCTAGCCCTAACCCTAACCGTAACCCTAGCCCTAACCTAAGCCTATCTCTAACCCTAGCCCTAACCTTAAACCTTAACCTAACCCTGCCATAAACCTAGCCCTAACCCTAACTGTAACCCTAACCGTAGCCCTAAACCTAACCTTAACCCCAGCCCTAGCCCTAGCCCTAGCCCTAACTCAAACCCCACACTAACCCTAACCCAAGCCCTAACCCTGGCCCTAACCCTAACCCTAAACCTTACCCTAACCCTAACCCTAAGCCTAGCCCTAGCACTAGTCCTAGCCCTAGCCCTAACCTTAACCCTAATCCTAGCCCTAGCCCTAACCATAACTCTACCCCTAAACCTAACCCTAATGTAACCCTGACCCTAGCATTAGCCCTAGCCCTAACCATAACCATAACCCTAGCTCTAGCCAAACCCTAACCCTAGCCCTAATAACCCTAACCCTAAATCTAGCCCTAGCCCTAATGCTAGCCATAGCCCTTGCCCTTACCCTAGCCCTAAACCTAAGCCTATCTCTAACCCTAGCCCTAACTTTAAACCTTAACCTAACACTGCCATAACCCTAGCCTTAGCCCTACCCCTAACCTTAACCCTAACCCTAGCCCAAACCCTAAACATAACCCTAGTCCAAGCCCTAACCCTAACCCTGAACCTAGCCCTATCCCTAGCCCTACCCCTAACTCTAGCCCTAACCTTACCCTAACCTAACCCTACCCCTAGCCCCAGCTATAACCCTAAACCAAACCCTAACCCTAACCCTAAGCCTAGCCCTAAACCTAAACCTAAACCTAACCCTAACTCTAGCCCTAAACCTAACCCAAGCCCTAGCCCTAGCCCTAACCTTAACCATAACCCTAGCCCTGGACCTACCCTAGCACTAACCCTAATGCTAACCCTAACCCTAGCACTAACCCTAACCCTAACCGTAGCCCTTGCCCTAAACCTAAACCTAACCCTGACCCTAACCCTAACCCAAACCTAACCCTAACCCTAAACCTAAACCTAGACCTAGCTCTAACCCTAACCCTAAACCTAACCCTAACCCTAGCCCTAACACTAACCCTAACACTAACCCTAGCCCTAGCCCTAATGCTAACCCTAACCCTAACCCTAACCCTAACCGTAATCCTAACCCTAGCCCTAGCACTAACACTAACACTAACACTAAGCCTAGCCCTAACCCTAAACCTAGCCCTAACCCTAACCGTAACCGTAACCCTAGCCTAGCCCTAGCCCTAACCATAACTCTAACCGTAACCGAAACCCTAACCCTAGCCCTAGCACTAGCCCTAGCATTAGCCCTAGCCCTAAACCTAGCCTTAGCCCTAGCCCTAACCCTAACCCTAGCCTTAAACATAACCCTAACCGCAACCCTAACCCTAACCCCAAACCCTACCCTAAGCCTAACCCAACCTTAACCCAAACTTAGCCCTAACCCTAACCCTAGCCATAGCCCTAGCCCTAACCCTAACCCAAACCCTAACCCTGGCTCTAGACCTAACACTAAACCTAGCCATAACGTTAAGCCTAGCCCTAACCCAAACCCTAACCCTGGCTCTAGACCTAACACTAAACCTAGCCATAACGTTAAGCCTAGCCCTAGCCCTAACCCTAACCCTATCACTGGCCCTAACCATAACCCTAGCCCTAACCCTAACCCTAACCCTAACAAGAGCCCTAGCCCTAACCCTAACCCTAATCTTAACCCTAACCAAGCCCTAACCCCAACCCTAAACCTAGCCGTAGCCCTAGCTCTAATCGTAACCCCTACCCTAGCCCTAACCATAACCCTAACCCTAACCCTAGCACTACTCCTAGCTCTAACCCAAGCCCTAACCCTAATCATAGCCCTAGCCGTAACCCTAACCCTAACCCAGGCCGTAAACTTAACCCTAACCCTAATCCTAACACTAACCCTAGCCCTAACACTAACCCTAACCCTAGCCCTAGCCCTAACCTAACCCTAATACCTAACCCTAACCCTAACACTACCCCTAACTCTAAACCTAACCCTAGCCCTATTTCTAGCCCTAGCACTAACCCTAACCCGAACCCTAACCCTATCCCTTAACATAGGCCTAGACCTGACCCTAACCCTAGCCCTAGAACTAGCTCTAGCTGTAACCCCAACCCTAACCCTAGTCTTACCCCTAAACCCAACGCTAAACCTAACACTAGCCTTAACCTGAACACTAACCCTAACCCTAGCCCTAACCCTAACCCTAGCCCTAACATCAACCTTAACCCTAGCCCTACCCCTAACCCCAACCCTAACCCTAAACATAGCCATAACCCTAACCCTAACCCTAGCACTAGTCCTAGCCCTAACCCTAGCCCTAACGCTAGCCATAGCCCTAACCCTGACCCTAATCCTGGCCCTAACCCTAACCCTAACCCTAATCCTACCCCTACCCCTACCCTAACACTAACCCTAAGCCTAGCCCTAACCCTAACACTAACCCTAACCCTAATCCTAGCACTACACCAAACCCTAACACTAAACCTAACTCTAGCCCTAACCATAACCCTAGTCCTACCACTAACCCTAACCCTAAACCTAACCCCAACCCTAACTCTAACACAAGCCTTAGCCCAAACACTAACCCTAACCCTAAACCTAACCCTAACCCTAACCATAGCCCTAACCCTAACCGTAAACTTAACCCTTGCCCTAGCCCTGGCCCTAACCATAACCCTAACCCTAACGCTAACCCTAAACCTAAGCCTAACCCTAGCCCTAACCATAACCGTAACCCTAACCCTAACCC